GTTCAGATAATGTTAGATTCTGAAGCTACTTTATTAACAAGTAAAAATTGTATTTGACCACATAGAATTAAAAACTTTAAAACTTCCTACCTCATTGACATTTTACTGACAGGAACTTTAAGCTGTTTACATAAAGAACTTTCAACATATAATGTTACCCAAAGGAGTTATATTTGCAAGTATTGCAACTTCTTACTTATAACAAGTGTGAATGAATAACATAAAAAGTAACTTCTAATATGGTTATCGAAAGATAAGATGATCTGTTTTTTTATTCTTGAAGCCATCTTTAATGCAAAGCAAAGAAAGAGTCTGAAGTGTGCAACGAGAACTCATAAGAGGTGGGAATTTGATAACTTTATGATAAAATTCCATTAGTTTTCCATGTGGACTGGGAAAAGACTTCATTTTGCACAGTCAAGAGTAATCATTGGCACAGTCCGTGAAAAGCAAATCCAGAAAAGCCTGGGGAATTTGGAAAGAGGCCAGATTAAAGGCCCATTTTGCTTCTACCCTGATAGCTCTTGCTGTTTCTTTCATTTCCTCTTTCTTCTTTTAATCAAGGCTGAGGTAGGCTAGGAGAGGAAAAATGGGCACGTCTAGTTTTCAGAAGTTTGTCAACTTCCTTCCACATTTTCCAGTCTCTCTCTACTCTCATTCCCTTATTTCCGAGAGCAGTGTTTCTCAGCTGGAGCACTATCAACATTTTCGGTGAGACAGTCCTTCGTTCTTTGGGCTTTCCTGTGCATTGTAGGCCGTTTAACAGCATCTTTGGCCTGTATCCATTGGATGCTAGTACCTCAAGATATAATAATCAAAAGTGTCTCAAGATATTGCCACATTAAAAAAAAAAAAAAAAAGACATTGCCACATATCTTCTGGGGGACAAAATTGCCCCAATTGAGAACTACTGTCCTAGGAAAATAAATATGGTAAATCATCACTTGATAGGTTCATCATCTTTAAATGAAACAATATATAATGAAACCAATTTTACCAATTATATATTGTAATATATGTATAAATTATAAACCAGAGTTAAATTCCTCATCTCATGAGTTTAAATTACAGCATCTCATCATCATAATGAAATGGCATTATTCAAGGACCTGCTGTAGTAATGATCTATGTAATTTACCAAAGAGTTTCTAAGGAAAAGCATACCTTGTTGTCTTGCTACTTTCATACTGTATAAATCAGACCCTGATACCTCTTTCCTGACCAATAGCTTTAGCCTTCCTCAGGAGCTTGCTCTGGTCTCTTCCTGTTTCAGTTCCTGCTACACAGTGCTGTCAGCATTATCTGTTTTGAAGTACAGGTTTGATCATGTTACTTACCTTGTTCTGGGACCATTGTCCCTCACCCTTGGATATAGGATAATAGTATGAACAACTAGTATTAATTGATCACAGTGCTTAGTGTTTTATAGCCATCATGTAATTTAATTTTTACAAGGACTTTATATAGCCATTGTCTTGTTCTCAATTTGTAGACAAGAAACTGACCATATAGAGGATAAGCAGCTTATCTGAGGTGCTATAGTTAGTAGGTGGCAAAGCTTAAATCTAGTTAGTAGGTGGCAAAGCTTAAAACTTGGCTCCAAGTTTTCTATTAGGATGGCCCTCGTGGGGCTTCTGTGTGCATTTTTACCCTTTCTACTTTCTTCTTCAGTCGCAAAGTTCCACTCACCTTCTCCCAGTTACCTTGTATTTTCTCAACCATGACCTTTACACTTCACTTTCACTTTCTGCCCTTGGAAATCCTGCTTCTCCTTTTTTTATGATTCTACTCAAGTATCACTGTTAAAGTAGTATTCTACCTTCCCAGTTAAAGTTTTTTGTTCTATCTTCCAGAACTTTGTTTATTTTTCATTTTTGGCAGTTCCCTTATCATGTTGTGTAATATTTGTGTTTATTTCCATCTTCCTATTACATTGTAAATTCCTGGAAGACAAGAACTGTTTTGTCTCTGCAAACCACAGGACCAGTGCCTTGCATTTAGCAGACATGTGAAACATGAGAGTTTTTTAAATGAGTTTTATTCATACAAATATATTTAGAGATTTTATGAGGATGGAATGTGGAATCTTTTCTTACTAATCCTTGACAGTTGTTACAACCAAGTTATGGGTATGCTTTATACCCCATTGGATATTGTAGAATTTAATAATAAAAAAATTTAATAGCCCTGGCTGGTATGGCTCTGTAGATTGAGAGCTGGCCTGTGAACCAAAAGGTCACCAGTTGAATTCCCAGTCAGGGCACATGCCTGGGTTGCAGGCCAGGTGCCCAGTTGGGGGTGCGCAAGAGGCAAACACACATTGATGTTTCTTTCCTTTTTATCCCTCAGTAAATAAAATCTTTAAAATTTTTTAATAAAGTTTTAGAGTCAATTTTCCCTCTTTTCCTTTGAAAATTCTTAGTGTTAGATATATTTAAAGCATATCATGACATTTTAGAAATATTTTTTAAAGTATTGTATTCATTTACTTTTAGAGAGAGGGGAAGGGAAGGAGAAAGAGGAAGAGAAACATCATTGTGTAGTTGACTCTTGTACGCCCCCTAGTGGAGGGCCTGCTGTGTCTCAGAATCCAGGCATGTGCCCTGACTGGGAATTGAACTTGTGACCCTTTGGTTCTCTGGCCAATGCTCAATCCACTAAGCCACACCAGCCAGGGCAGTGAAATTTTATAAATATTAATGGTAACAAATAATTGAAAGAATAATTGGTACTATAAACATTTCTGTATTATTTCTAAATATTTCTGTATTTTCCACCGTTTACCCAGGATTTAAAAAATACAAATAAACTCTTCAGTTTCTAATAAGTCATTGTTTTCAATTTTTAAAATTTAACTTATTTAGCTCTGGCTGGTGTGGCTCAGTGGATTGAGTGCCAGCCTGCGATTCCTAGTCAGGACATATGCCTGGGTTTCAGACCAGGTCCCCAGTAGGGGTACCGCGAGAGGCAACCACACATTGATGTTTTTCTCCCCCCTTTTTCCTTCCCTTCCCTTCCCTTCTCTCTAAAAATAAATAATAAAATCTTTTTTTTTAATTTAACTTATTCCAAAAAATTGACACCGTTTTGGAGAGACAGACGGGAATTTTTAATGGAAAAATTAAGGTCAGAAACTAAGAGAAGGCAAGATTGGTATCTATACCTTTAACATATGCCATGAGATCCTGCCTAGCCTGATGCTAGACGTGGGCCACAGATTTGGCTTTGCTTTTGCTCTGGGCAAAGTAAACAAGAAAACATGATTAGGTATCTGATCAAATTGTTCATGTTATAAAACCATCCAGAGAAATTCCTTATATGGGTCCTCACAAAGGACTGTCATATCAAATAGGTGAGCCAGTCTTCAGCAGCATCCTTGCACTAACTGCAGTTATAGTTGAGTGTGAGTGCTCCATATCAGGCCATTCAGTTCAGGCCAGTGACATACTGTATAGCTTATTAAAGGATATTCTATGAGGAGCCAAAATAAGAGTATACAATTCTAAGATTAAGTAAACTTAAAATATCTAGATCAGCATTTCCCAAGGCAGATGGTCTCTCTTAAAAATGGATTTAAAATTTAAACAATTATTTTATAAAACTACTGAAAATTTTCTCTTAAATGATTTTTATTAACTCTAAACAATTTTAGAACACGTACCTTCATATTTTAGTCCTTGGAATACTGATCTCTAAAGTGTCCCAGCACTGTAGTCACAAGATATAGATGCACTGAGATAATATACATAGGGCAAACGTGAACAGGTTTGCGAGTCTGCTACTCTGGCCAGAGGTTTTTGTTGTTTCTTAAGATACCATAATGAATTATGTATTTGTAATTATAATGACTAGATTAAAGAAAATATTAGATAAATGCTGGAGGCTATCAGTGCATTTAGCAAAAATACTGGATTGTTGGAACTTTTGTGACTGTGGTTTGGGAATTGTTGACCTATCCCCATTATTCATTTTACTGTGTTGACGGAAGTGTTCTCTATCTGCACTGTTCAAAATGGTATTGTGTTGGCAGCCATTCAAGGCCCAGCAGGTCCATGGTATTCGCACAGTTGGAATAATATTCATGGAGCCATTGGGATGTCTGGCATAACTTTATTCATGGGTGGGTGAGCCACGTACGCTGCAAGCTGCGTGTCCTTCTGCATGCCTCTGTGTGGTACATGTCATGGGCCTTGCTTCCCAGCATGGCACCCATCATGGCACCCATCCCCTTACATGTAGTCTAACTAGTGCAAAGTCCTTACTTGTTTAAGTCCTAGAGGGGAACAAAGCCGGCGAACTGCCAGAATGTTTCATAACATAATTCTGCATATGCAGGCCCAGTTTGTGTTATGGGAACAGTTTACTGGACCCAGTTTTCAAGGCTAAGAGAACACTACTTATCAGGCCCCTCTAAGGCTATGGGAACACTGCTTCCCTTAGTTACCCAGACACTCAGGTGAGTAAGCCAGACTGCTCCCACTTACCCTACAGGTAGCCAGTAGCTAATGTGGCTATTGAGCACATGTAATGTAGCAAGTGTGACTGAGGAACTCAACTTCTGATTTAATTTTAGTCAACTTAAATTTAAGTAACTGCACATGGCTAATAGCTCACCATGCAGGAAACTCCATTCTAGAGGAGAGGAAAAACTACTTTCCTTTCAAGCTATGTAAGATAGAGTAGCAGTAAGTTAAACTAATATTCTCCATCTGTAACTGAATAAAGAAATCCTATATTTCTAAGAGACATGTATTTTAAGATAATCAATGGTTATATTTAAGTTTGCTTTTCTATTTTGAACTTGAAAATTAACCAGGATGCTTGAAATAGAGTACATGATCGATCTTTTAGTAAAATTGTTAGCAAAAAATGAGTGAAATTGTTAGCAAGTAGACAATGTTAAGCTAAAAACTACATTTAAAATTCTTTCATGAGATTGAGACATTTACTTTAAAAGTAGGAGGCTATAGTTATACTAATATAAGACTATTTTCCTGCAGTTTCCAGAGTGTGGATTCTTTGGCATGTATGACAAAATTCTCCTCTTTCGCCATGACATGAACTCAGAAAATATTTTGCAGCTGATTACCTCAGCAGATGAAATACATGAAGGAGACCTAGTAGAAGTTGTTCTTTCAGGTAAGTAAGTAGTTTTTTTAAATTTCATTGCCTTTTTTTTTAACAAGCCTTATTTTTTTGTACTAAGTGCTGCATTCAATTATACTTTCTACTATAGTTGCTGACTTCTTTCATCTGTAGTGATGGTTATGTGATTTTTACTTTCATAAAAATTATATCACAGATGAGAACATAGGAAAATAAGCCCTGAATTAACTTATTTGAGTGTTACTAAGCTAAGGGAAATATCAGTTGAACCAGAAGAGGAATGGAATCAAAGAAATAAAATAAGTACACTAAAATTCTGTTCTCCTTTCTCCATTTTTATAAAGAGTATGAAAGAAGAGAACTGGGGTTCAGAAAAGAAAATCAGAAAACTAAAAGAGAGAAGTAATGAAGATGTGGAAGAGGCAACTACAGTGCTGGTTGTTTCCACAACTTAAGTCATGCTTCTCGTTGTGCTCAGTGGACATTTTCTCTCCCCTCTTCTTTCCCTCTCTCACCCATTCTTGCCATTCATTGTTTCTTAGCTCCTGATATTTCAGATAGCATCCAATAAAAGGTGTACAGGATTGTTAGTGAGGGTTGTAAAGGAACAAAGAATGCATATGGTAGGTTCGCAAAATTCCTTTTTTGGCAAGGACTTAGAGAGGGAGAGAGTAAAAGAGCAAGAAGAAGGGAGGGGAAGAAGAGATGGAGGAGAAGGAAGGGAAGAAAAGAGAGGAAAGGCAGCCACAAGTCCAGGGTCCTACCAAGAGTTTTACCTCTTTCGAACTCATTTTTGTAGCCTGTTCTTGAGATCCTCTCTGACCATCACTTTTCCTTATGAATCCCTGATCCTTCCCATTGATCCAGCACCTACATCGATCACTCGTCTGCTATACCACAGCCCCAAACATCTATGTACTTCTCAGTCCTTATCTTCCTCTTCACTTTGGAGGGGCATCACTCTCTATCCTCCCCAGAGGTCACGCTCATATCCATTCCTTCTTTGTTACGGACCCTTCATCAGGCCACTGTGGGTACGAATGACTTGTGGAGTAGGTGAGATGATGTCTACTGGGAGATGTGTCTACTGGTCAGGTGCTTACAGAGGGGAGAGGAGACTCTTTCTTAACCACTAGGACTATGGAAAACAGACTGAGAGCACACCCTGAGAGCTTAAGTTAGAACTGAGTACCTTTCTCACAGGAACACTGCTATAAACTAGGTCAGGTTTCACAATTCTATTTATTTATTTACTTATTTACTTATTTACTTATTTACTTAAGCCTTCTAATTGGCTAAAATAGACCTAACAGCTATTTGCAGTCCAGTCTTGCCACTATGAAAAAATGCTTTTGGAGGTCAAAATATCTACCTACAGACTTGCCTTTGGAGCTGGAATTAATTGAAGCTAATAAACTTTCTAAGATAGAGTTTAAAAACCTCAATGTTAAATGCTGAAAATAACTTTATTTTTATGATCAGATGAAAATTTCAGAGAAAAAATTATCATGATCAGTGTTTCTAAGCTCATAGTAATTACAAATATAAAAAGGTTTATTTTAATATTTTTCTTTTCAAAAAGCTTTGGCCACAGTAGAAGATTTCCAGATTCGTCCACATACGCTCTATGTACATTCTTACAAAGCTCCTACTTTCTGTGACTATTGTGGTGAGATGCTCTGGGGACTGGTACGTCAGGGACTGAAATGTGAAGGTATGTGTTCTAAATTTTGTGTCATTTGAAAGAGGACTTCACATTTGCATTCTCTTATCATCAGTGAAAGAATAAGGTCACTAGTTGGTGACTAGGAAGTAAGCCAGGTTTAGAATCGGAGAGGTCTAGACTCTGGTCCTTCCTCTGTCACCTTCTTGATCATATTCTTGGGCAATTTACTAATCCTCTCTGAGGATCATTTCTCTACCTGTAAAATATACTTTACTTCTCTGGTATCATGGAGAGTAAATGGTTAAATGAGGTTAAATGGGTAAAATACTTGTTGTTACACTGTGGCTCAAGAAATAATTTCCTTTTTCTTAAGGGAAATATTAGTCTTTTACATGCAACAACAAAATTGTTCTAAATTAGAATTGGTAGGGAATAGGATGAGGTGCAGATGTCTGTTTAAGAAACAGTAAGGTGCCCTGGCCAGGTAGCTCATTTGGTTGGAGTGTTGTCTTGTACCCCCAAAAGGTTGCAGGTTCAATCCCTGATCCAGGCGCATATGGGAGGCAACTGATCAGTGTGTCTCACATTGAGGTTTCTCTCTTCCTCTCTCTCAAATCAGTAAGTATATCCTTGAGTGAGGATTTAAAGAAAAAAGAAAAAAATAAACTCAGAGTGGAAGGGTCAACATAATTTTTTTGTAAAGAGCCAGAGTAAATATTTTAAGTTTTGCTGGCCATATATGGTTTTTCGATACTACTTAACTCTGCTATTATAGTGTGGAAGAAGATGAGTATGCTGTATTCTAATACAATTCTTTATGAACACTGAAATTTGAATTTCATATAATTTACACAGGTCATGGGAAGGATTTGGTACACAGACCATACTTTGTTGAAGTGCTTTAAGCTGGTAGTTCTCTTACTTTACTGTGCATCAGAATCACCTTGAGGACTTGTTAAAACACCTTTGGTAGGCCCTGTCCCCAGAGTTTCTGATTTAGTAGGTCTAAAGTAGAGCCAAGTAATTTACATTTCTAACAAGTTTTCAGGTGATGCCATACTTGGGGACCACAATTTGAGAACTACCACTCTAATTTAACCTTTCTAAATAAACCTTACACATTTCCTGTTCTTGAATTTGTTAGATCTAGTTTAGCCTGTCATCTGGGTTCTTAATTAGGGTAACTATTGCTGCCAGAGAAAATAAATAAAAGAGGCACCTGTTTTTATATGTAACATATAAGTAAAAATGTTTTTTTTTTTAATTTACTTCATTATTTAATCTTTTAAAATACATTTAGGCTGTGGATTAAATTATCATAAACGATGTGCCTTCAAGATTCCAAATAACTGCAGTGGAGTAAGAAAGAGGCGTCTGTCAAATGTGTCTCTGCCAGGACCTGGTCTCTCAGTCCCAAGACCCCTGCAAACTGAATATGTGGCTCTTCCCACCGAAGAGGTATGTATTCTGAGGTAATAGAACAGCACCACACTAGTCTTTCCTTATGTTGTACAGTGTATGTGACATCATTTTAGAACATAAGTTTTATACTAAAGAATAATAAGATTCCTACAGTAAAGAAGTTTAAAATGTGTTATGGAGACAGGGCTCACCAATAGTGATGAGCTGCATTTTGTATACTTTGGGATCACATTATCACTTGGACCTCACTGCATTACCTTTTAACCAGTATCCCAACTTCTGATCTCCATACTTTACTTCATGTTACATATTACATCTGGATCTTCTCATTACACTATATAATACACAGCTCCCTACCAGAAAACCTCTGCATATTTTATGTTATTGACATCTGTACTATTCACCATTCCCTGAACACATCCTTGCCCTTCCCACTTCTGTTCTTCTCTACCCTACATGTTTTTTCCAGGTCTAGATCAATAGCTACCTTTCCTGATTTTCCTCTTACCTAGAAGTTACTTTATTTTCTGAATACCATAGTACTTTTGAAGGCTCCTAATGGTATATATAGTGCTTATATACTAGATTGTCCTCAAGAAGTTTATGATCTATTTAAAGAAAGCAATGCTCATGTCTTTGGGTGCCCCATCATACCCCCAGCACAATACCTGGTACTTAGTAGGTATACTCAGTGATGAATGAATGAGTGAGTGAATGGTCCCACTGATCCTCAGTGAGATCAGTGAGATATATTGATCAGTACATCTGTTTATCTTGAGAAAGTTGAGGCTCAGAATGGTCAAGTGACTTCAGGAAAGTCATAGAACAAATTAGGAAGTAATAGAATTTAATTCAGAACTGATGATTTTTAAATCAATGGCTTTTTCTTATATGTTGTATCCCTCAAGTGTAAAGGTAGTAGAGAAGAAGGAAACAACTTTCTTGTTCATTTGATAGTACTTAAAATGATTTCCATTCATAGACCTAATCTTAATTAGTTGTATCTATCAAACCTTTGTTCTTCTATAAATTAATGATAAAATCAAGCCTTTGGGCTGTTTTCTTGATTCCCTAGTCACAAGATTTTGTAAACTGAGGAAGCAGAATAAAAACTGAAATTCTTTCACAAAAAATTCCATATCTCCATATTGCTTAGCCCTAAAGTAGAAGATTCCTGTCACATAAGGAACTTAGAATAGTGAGTTATAAACATATGCAAGAGCTTGGGAAAAGATTGATGATAGCAAAGTTAGCACATTGTATACATGAACACAGGAAACTCAGCTGGGAATGTGGACTGTAAGATAGACATACGTTCTTTGAAGACCCCTACAAGGATTTTGGTATGCCAGCTACCCTTAGTTGGATATTAGTAGATTAGGCAATACAGGGACAGAGCAGATGAAGAAGGCATTACGTTTTAATTCATTAGTTTATATTTTATCCTGAAGATGAAAATTTCATAGGGAAGTATAAGAAGTAAATTGACATGTTTGAATTGGTTATATTATGCAGAATATTGTAGAGTAAGTAGAAATTGTAGAGCAGAATGTCAGTCCATGCATGCACTCTCTAAAAGGAAGGAGGCATAGTAAGAGAAGACCTCATGGAGGAAAATTGGGGAAGGAAGAGTGGGAAAAGAAGACACTCCAGAGGAACAGAGGAGATGGTAATGATGAGAAGGGACAAACCTCATATCTGAACCAAAGGGTACAGAGGAACTAATTTCCAAGTGGCTGCACAGTAAGTGCCTCCTAAGTTCTCATGTGCCAGACTTGATGTTGAGGCATAGTCCTTGTACGTGTGTTCTGTACCATGTCCCAAATACCCCAGTCCCAGCAGGACTCCTGAAAAAAGGCAGTCACTAGCTGGCTGTTGATATATGAAGGGATCTGTTCGGAACGTTCTTCCTTATAGGGATATCATATATATTTGATGGTGACTGGCTATATTAGTCTTCTTCCATCTTGTGTGTTTTAAACTTGAGACACATTGAAAGTGGTAGAAGCAGGAGCAGGAAACAGAGTGTTGAGTCACCACTAGAATAGGAAGCCAGGAATGAACAAAGGCCTAAAACATCTGTTTCTGGTTCCCACTGGCTTCTTTGTTAGCTTTGCAGAATGACTGTGATGTTTCTTTTGCTGAAGATGCTCTGTACATAGCAGCATGGATGAAGGGCGTGCCACACTAGAGCAGGACACCTTAGACACAGAGAGTATACAAGTTTCTTTTGGGTTTGACATTCTGTTTGTACTTTTCTTAACTACTTCATAATTTATTTTAGAAAATTTCTCCCTGCGTATGACTGAAAACCTAGCCATCAGAGGCTATATTTGTATTCTTTTTATAGTGCTTTTCTCCGTTCATCTGTCCTTTTCTTTTTTTCTTCTTTTCCATCTTCCTACTTTCTTTAAAAAAAATTTTTTTCCCCATCTCCTCATTTCATTTGTCTCTCACACGTCTACACTTCTCTATTTGTTCTTCTGGCTTCTTTTCCTTCCGTTTGTTGATATATCAATGTAGAATGGCTCAACTTTTATGAGGGTACAGACATTACTAGTTACAAAAAGCATATGAAAGATCTCAGGACCTAGCCCTGGCCCATGTGTCTTGGTTGGATGCAGCTTCATCTCATGCACTATAAGGTCTCAGGTTCCATACCAGGTCAAGGCACACACCTAGATGTTGCGTGGGTCACCGGCCAGCAGTGATCACGGAACGCTGTGGATGGCTTGACGATAAACACGCGAGAAAAAACATGCACAGAGACAAACTAGTTTCTGTGGAGAAGTAGGGACGAAATGGCCACCCCTTCTAGTGAGGAGCGCGCTGATTTACCGTCCATACCTGCTTTTATTGGGCTCATTCTGCATAATAATTCAGGTAAAGTACAGTACTCATTAGGGGGAAGTAAGGAATCATAGAAAACAAAGAACTCTGCCGGTCTATTGAGTTGGGGGGTCAAAGAGCTGTAAGACTGAGGAACAAAATAACTTCCTCCTAAGACCCTTCTCATTCAACTGAGAGCATTCTAAACAAAGAAGGTTTCACAGTAATTTACACGTTTTTTCTTAGGCCTGATCACCCCGGGGAATCCGCACTTCTCAGTACCGAGCTGCACCACCCTGTCATTGCTTCAGGCTTAGGTGGAGCAAGGGAACTAAGGCAACTGGGAGACAAGGAGGTTTTTTCCCAGATGCTGAGAACTCAGGCTATGTCAAAGCCGAGGAGCGAGCTTTGACATCACCCCCTTTTGCTGCAGCCCCCCAAGTCCTTCTTTTGGGGGGCCTCCCAAAGTGATCGTGCCTGGCTTAGGTCGTTCCCCCCGTGGGGAATCTTACCCGTCTTTGGCTAACCGACCAAGCTTTTTGGGGTTCAGTCATGAATAAAGCAGCAGAAGCAGCATTCCTGCCAGGAAGATAAGCTTTTGTCTCCTTGCTGGCTTACGGTTCCAAGGGCGTTCCCTTAGCCTTAGCTAGGCAGGGGTTTCAGCTTCTGATACCAGTCAGGGCGGTTCCCAACACCTAGATTGTGTGTTTGGTTCCCCAGATGAGGTGCATACATGAGGCAACCAGTTAATCGGATTGGGTGTGCATGGGAGGCAGCCGATTTGTCTCTCTCACACCAGTGTCTCTTTCCCTCTCTCCCCTTCCTTTCCTCTCTCTCTAAAATCAGTAAATGTATCCTCAGGCAAGTATTTTAAAAAAAAGATCTCAGAACCTCAGTTCTAGCAGTAAAGATGCATGCAGCTACAATAAAATCTGTATTACGGCTAGATGGGTATTTGGATTTTGTGCTTGCAAACATGGACTGTATTTATTTTTGTATCCCCCATACATAGTATTAGGCCTGGCCTATGGTAATCAATGAACTTGGAATGACTGGGGCGAACCACATTCAACTCACATATAATTTAATATGATTATTTCTTTTGTGTGTATAGAAAGAGCCCTAGTTGCAAAAAACACTTATCCCTCAGGTTGTACAAAATTTTCAATCAGTGCCTTCTTTAATTGTTTTACTTGCTCAAAAAAAAAGGAAAAGTCTGAATAACTGGGACACAGTTAAAATATCAAGGAACTTTTAAAGCGTGATTACTGTGGGTAAAGTCGATTTAGTTAGTCTTGACTCTGCCATTATTTGTATCATCATCGTTAATTGGACTTAAGTTTTTACGTACATATTTTAGTCTTTTTTAAAATAAATTTGAAAAACTAACTTGTTATGAAATATTTTCAGACATTGCGCTCAGTAATTTAATATGAACAGCAGTAACACTTTCTGAATTTATTTACTTTTTCTGTGATTAATTCCTTGGTAAGATTTTTGGAGGAATTTGAACATCTGTTATAAATTGATTTTAAGCCCTTTGTTTTTCATTTGAAAAATGCCATATGTGCCTGGCAAATAATAGCTAGGCAATGAACGTACGTATATGAGGATGAAAATATCCTTTTTTTAAAAAAATCATAAATAGCAAAAAAAGTTTGCACTTTTCTCATTCAAAGGTTGGTAAGTTAAGCTTCCAAAGGAAACTGCCAAGATCCACATTTTTAGGTTTTTGGCTGTAGTGTTTGAAAAAAATGACATTTGTGGTCAAGCCCTGCTCTTAATATTTTGTCTTTAATATTGACTTACGGAAGTTACGTATGTTTCAGTCACATGTTCACCAAGAACCAAGTAAGAGAATTCCCTCTTGGAGTGGCCGCCCGATCTGGATGGAGAAGATGGTGATGTGCAGAGTCAAAGTTCCGCACACGTTTGCGGTTCACTCCTACACCCGTCCCACGATATGTCAGTACTGCAAGCGGTTACTGAAAGGCCTCTTTCGCCAAGGAATGCAGTGTAAAGGTAGGATGGGATATTTTTCTTAATTACAGTTTATAACTGTTTTTGTTAGCAAGTGTGCGTTTCAAATATTGGGTTCGTCAAAAAGTTCGTTTGGTTTTTCCCCATAAGGTGGCTCTAGTAGCGCTTAGTTGTCTTTGACTTCATTTGAAACAATATTGTTAGATTGTATTGTGACAGCTGTCAGATCAGTGTGCATTTGAAAAAACTTATAAAATTGGTGAATTTTTGTATAGTCATTTTAAATATTGAAGATGGAAGAAAAGCAACATTTTTAGGATATTGTGCTTTATTATTTCAAGAAAAGTAAAAATGCAACTGAAATGCAAAAAAAAAGTTTTGTGTAGTGTATGGAGAAGATGCTGTGACTTGACTGATTGTGACAGAGGTCGTTCGTGAAGTTCCATGCTGGAGGTTTCCCGCTGGACTGTGCTCCTTGGTCGGGTGGACCAGTTGAAGTTGGCAGTGATCAAATCGAGACATTAATTGAGAAGAATCAGTATTATACCACGTGGGAGATAACCAACATACTCCAACTATCTAAATCAGTAAAGTTGTTGGTGAAAATGAAAAACGTGCCTTTTATTTTACGGAAAAACTATACTGACTTTTTGGCCAACCCAATATTTATATTGAGAAGTATTAAGCAAAGATACTGATTTTGTAGTTGATAACTTAAAAAGATACCCACAGACAGAAACATTTATTAACAACTACTGTTGTTTTCAATGTGTACTATGTACCTGGAACTATGCTAAAGAAATAGAGTATAAACAGAAAAACTAGAATTTGGGTATCTGAGGTATGGCTGCTTAATACTTGGTAATACAGAAGAGTTGGTAGGCAGGTAAGCTGATATTTGAGCTTAATTAAGTCTTACTGATTCCAAAAACAGATACTACCTAAGATAAAAAATAATGCTTTCTCTTTTCCATTAAATATACATACACATTACAAGAGTTTTGTTACTTTTGTTTTAAATTATGTAGCTAGGAGAGCTGTACAAAAACTGTCATTCCTAAAATAGGTAGAAGATAGTAGAAGCCACTTATAATAGGGGTCACCCGTATTTGCATGCTAACCCAAAACACTGTTATAGTATTTCAGAAACATATTTTAATGAACCAGGTTTTTAATAGAATAGTGGAATAATTTTTCCTGTAGTTAAATATTGTTTTTATGCTTTTTAAAGATGATTTTATATTTTTTAAATCTCATCTCAGCAATGCTGTACAATAGCATGAAAACCAAAACAGAGAATTTAAATGTATTATTAGTCATTAAGATAGGATATGGTGTTACCTTTCTATAATCATATGTACTTGTTTTTCATGTGATTATTTTAACAGTTCTTGCTACCATACTTTTTTACGTAGAAGTGTTTGTGGAATTGAAAAAAACTAGTTTTATCGAAATAAAACATTATATTTGAGGTCTTTGCAACAATGAATTCTGTTCACAATACAAAGTCAAATAATGGTATACAAATTTAACTTCAGTACGTAAAAATAGGACAGCGTTGGGGAACACCAGATAGAGAATAGGTTGTGCGTTTGTTGTCAAGTGTCTAATAACCGTCTAGCAGGCGTAACTACATGTTGAAATTTTATTTCAACAGCTTACTTTTGAATATGAGTTAATATATGTTACTGCTTTAAAATATCAACACTAAAGTATACTGGCAAGCAGCCACTAAGGAATGTTTTGGGAAAGAACATTAATAACAGATGTATAAATTCTAGCCAACAGATAATCTTCCTGAATGTGGTAAAATAGTGCTGCTCTGCCCAGCAGAACAGAAATGTTCTAAAACCATATGCAGAAAAGTACGGTATTTTGTAGAGGAGCTAAAATAAATATGTAGGTTAATGAATTGTGGAATAAAACCAGTTAACTGTCACTGGGTTATTAATTTAATTTCTTAGAGCTCTAAAAGAATAATGTTTTGTGATCCTATTGGTTATAGTTATTTTGTCAGTCAAAATCAATCAGAATTTACTTCAGTGATTCTTGTAGTTTTATAATATGAATTAAAATGCTTAAAAAGTAAAGTAGTTACAATTTTCATTCACTTTTAAAGCTAACAATAAAAAAATAATTTAGTCTTTAAAACAGTAATGCTGGATTCTTTGAGAAAACAATATAATTCCAAGAACAACGCAGTCATCTGTTTATTTTTTACTTTGTTATTTAAGACTACAAGGCAACTTGAGAGCATATATAAAATATAAGAAAGCATAAACAAATTAATAAAACGTGAGCAGGAGTACAGAGAAATAAAAGTGCTTGCCATTAGAACTTCCATACCTGCTGCAGATGGGCCACAAATCTGGCTCTCCATTTTCAAAGGGAAAATGGAAGCCTTGTTATTTGCAAACAAGGAAAATGGGAACCTTACAATTTGTAAAACTTATGAGATAAACAAATGAATTATTTAAGATATATGCAAGATATTAATATGTATGCATTTTTCCAAGGCCTCTCATTTAAAAAGAATGTTATGTGATGCACGTTTTATTATCCACCAAATTATTAATTTGATGGGGCTTTTTCTTTTAAGTCAGGACCTGGCATTACACTTTCACCCAATTATTGCTGGTAGATGTAATTCAAAGGTGGTGTTAGATGGTAGTTTACAGCAATGTCTTTCAATTTTAGTGTCACCTAAAGAGGTTATTAAAAAACACATTTCTCAACCCCGCTCCCAGAGCTGCCGATATAGTAGTTCTGGGGTGGGACACCAAAATTTGCATTTCCATCAAGTTCTGAAATGATGTCAATGCTGCTGGTCTTGGGACCATAGTTTAAGAACCCCTGAGTTACACAGTAGCATTGAACCACTTGTACCTGACAGTGATTTGCAGCGCTATCAACTTGGAGGTTCTTGCAGGCTGGAAAGAACCATTATGTATTAGTGGAAGACCTTGCACATGAGCAGCTCAGCCCTTCCTTACAAGGTTGTATGGGAAAGCCCTCACTGATTCCTAATAACTGGTTGTGGGACCTCAGTCTTTTTTTCTACGTAGGCACTAGGTCCTAATGAATAAACATTATAAATAAGGTCTAACATGTATTGGAAAGTAGTTGAATCAGCCTGAGAAACCTTTCAGGGGTATTCGGCAAGATGAATGTGGGTTAGGGGAAGGAAACGGACTTGCCAGCAACATTTTAACTTCATTTTACGGATAAACTGAGCCCTGAGGAGTTAAAATAACTGTTAAGAGGAGGTCTCAGAATTTGAAACCAGACCTTTAGTCCAAGACCTGAGTTTTTAGTAGAAGAAAACTTTATCTTCATTGTCATTTCTAAAACCCTATTTGTGAGCTATTTAAAGAAAGTCTTTAATCATATCTGATACTGCCTGACTTTTGACATAAATTAATAAGCTGAATATTTTATTTTAGATTGCAAATTCAACTGCCATAAACGCTGTGCATCGAAAGTACCAAGAGACTGCCTTGGAGAGGTTACTTTCAATGGAGGTAAAATTCTTTTTCTTAATTTTCATAAAAGATTTAAAAAGGTCACAATTCTTTTTTGTATGATATTTGTATGGTGTTATATTTGCATATTTTGTTTTTTGACTTCGACTTTTTTCTGATTTAATAATCAAGCAAAATATGGAGATCAGTAATGATATACTTTTATTATTAATTATTCTTTCCCATCTTCCCTTTAGCCACCTACTACTTTATATCCTAATATAGCAAATAACGCTGGATATCTCCTTTCATCTTTAGATGTAAAAAGACATAGTTTAAAACCCTGTTGTTATTCCTAGAACTATTTCGTAGTTCTAACATTTATTGACTGCTTTCTATATGCCAGGAATGTTCTAAATTCACTGCACATACTGAAATTTACACTTAACAATTCTTTGAGGTCAGTACTTACAGATGAGTTAATTTAGGCACAAAGAAAAATACAACCAGTAAGTGGTAGAGTTGGGATTTGAACCCATATGGTGTGACTTCTTAGTCCATGGTTATTAGAACACATTGTATAGCTTCGTTCTCTCTCCATTAAATAATCATTAGCTAAACATTTCCCCTTCTTTGGAATCTTTTTCTCTTTTCAAGATTATATTAATCAAAATGATTATTACCTTTTTTTGGGAGGATGGAGTAATGACTTTAAACATTTAGCGTAATTTTTCTTTAACATTTCCATGACTGGTAAAAATTGAATATAAGGAGTTCTGTAGGACAAAAAACATACGGGATGGAAATTACAACTCCTTAAGAGTTTATCATTTTCTCTTAAGGCATGTTTTTTATGCCTTATTACCTTTTTTTGGAAGGATGGAGTAATGACTTTAAACATTTAGCATAATTTTTCTTTAACATTTCCATGACTGGTAAAAATTGAATATAAGGAGTTCTGTAGGACAAAAAACATACGGGATGGAAATTACAACTCCTTAAGAGTTTATCATTTTCTCTTAAGGCATGTTTTTTATGGTTGCTGTTTAACACCATTGACAGAGCATGATTGGTTTTCTCGTTTTTCTACATTACTGAAGTCTTTTCATGTATTTTCGTACTTTTATACTTATTGACAAATGGATATGCAATACTATTTACATTTATTTTAATGTGTATTTATTTATCTGATTACTAATGAACTTGAGTACCTTTCAAATGTTTACTGGTTATTCTACTATAGAATATAGGGGTTTTTCCACTATAGATTGCCCGTTTACAAGTTTTGTCCATTGTTTTGTTTGTATATTAGTTATTGATTTGCAGAAGTTGTTGATAATTCTAATTCTTTGTCAGTTATATGTGATAAAAACTCCTCTCAGTTGCTGGCTTACCATTTTTTAAACAGCTTTATTGAGGTTTAACTTGTATATGTTGCAATTCAACCACTGAATTTATTCACAAAGTTACACACCTGTCATTACAATCTAATGTTAGAACATTTTCCTCACCCAGAAAAAAAAAACTCCATACCCACTGGTGGCCATTTCCCATTTACTTTTCCCTCCTAGCCCCTGGCAGGCACTAATCATATTTCTATCTTTATGGGTTTGTCTGTTCTAGACATTTCATGTAAATGGAATCGCATAATATGTAGTCTTTTGTGACTGGTTTCTTTCACTTAGCATAATGTTTTCAGGGTTTAGCTACATTGTAACATTTTTTATTGATTAATAATATCCCTCTACATGAAAGTACTACATTTTATTTACCTATTCACCATTCAGTGAACATTTGAGTTGTATCCAGTTTGAATTCATTATGAATAATGCTGCTATGAACATTTGAGCATAATTTCTCAGGACATATGCTTTCATTTCACTTGGGTAGATACCTAGTAGTGGAATTGTTGAGTCAGATAATAAACTCTGTGTTTAACATTTGGAGGATTACCGAACTGCTTTCCAAAGCAGCTGTACTATTTCACACTCCCAGCAGCAGTGTGTAAGGATTCTAATTTCTCTTCATCCTTGCCACCTCTTGTTACTGTGTTATTTTGATTATTGCTCTCCTAGTGAGCATGAAGTGATATCTCATTGTGGGTTTGATTTGCATTTCCCCAATGGTTAATGGTTACTGCACAACTTTTCATGTACTTATTGGTCATTTTTACATCTGCTTTGGCAAAATATCACAACAGATATTTACCTAGGTTATTTATCTTTTTATTAGTGAATTGTAAGAATTCTTTAAATAGTCTGGATACAAATTCTTTATTTGATAATGTGATTTGCAAATACTTTCATTCTGCAAGCTGTCTTTTTACTTTCTTGAGGTATCATTTGCAGAACACAGTTTTTAATTTTGATGAAGTTCAGTTTACTTGTTTTTTCCTTTTGTCACTTGTATTTTTGGTGCCATAGATATCTAAGAAGGTTTTGCCTAACCCGTGGCCACAAAGATTTGCCCCTTTATTTTCTTCTAAGAGTTGTATAGGTTTAGCTGTTATATTTAGGTCTGTGATCTGCTTTAAGTTCATTTTTGTATTTTGTTAAGGAAGGGGTCCAATTTCACTTTTTTACATGTAGCTTTCCAGGTGTCCTGGTACCATTTATTGAAAAGACTGTTTATTCTTTTTATACTGAATTGCCTTAGACCCTTGTAGAAAGTCAGTTGGTCACAAGTATAATAGTAGTGGGTAAATCTTTTACTTTGCTTCTAGTGTCTTGTTTCATACAGAAATTTAAAATTCTAATATAACCAAATAAATTGCTTTTATTGCCTTATGGTTTGTATACTTTTTTATCTTTCTTAAGAAATATTTCTTTATCCTAAATCATAAAGATATTTCCTATCTTTTCATTTAAGAGTTTTAAAACTTTTTTCATATTTAATATAATGTCTTCATTTAGATGTATTAGTATCTCATTAGTATAATACTCTGAAGTTCATTTAAAACTTTGCCAGAACCTTCCAGTCTGGGAACAGATACAGACATGCCAATGGATATTGACAGTAGTGACATGAACAGTGATGGTAGCAGGGGCTTGGATGACACAGAAGAACCATCTCCCCCAGAAGATAAAATGTTCTTCCTGGATCCATCAGATCTTGATGTGGAAAGAGATGAAGAAGCTGTTAAAACAATCAGGTAATACACGTTTAGGTATTGTAAGCCATTGTACTTCCAAATGCAAAGTTGGTCCAGGAGCTTCATGAATGAGGAAGAAGCTATATCTCTTTAAGTGAAACCAAAAATGTAATTTAAAATCTAATTAAATTGTGGCTAATTCTTTTACATGTACCATGGTATTTCAAATAAATTATCACTCTTGCCATCTACTCAAGGGGGAAAGGTATGGTAATTCTGTTTTGTTTTTTTTTTTAAGAGAAAAATGCTTTATTTAAATACAGTTTAGATGTGCTGTCTAGCTGTGGAACAGCTCCCATAAGGTGCCAGAATTGAACCACCAGAAAAAGGCACCAGCTTCACACAGCCTTTACACCGGCAGATTACCTGATGTTAGAAACACGGTGGGAACATGCCTGAGAATGTTACACAGAGAAGATGGTGACGAGTTTGGGGGCAAGTTTTCATATGCACAGTTAATGTGCCTTTTAGCACTTTGTAAAAACAGTATTTGATTATAAACTTTTAAATATCCTGTATGGTAACAGAAATTCAGTATTTTGTATATACAGCCCTGTAGGATGTACTACTTCATAGTAGAATATTAACATTTTGGCAGATTTTGTTTTTCATTGTCAACAAAGATGTATTTAAGAGAAATGGGTCATTTGTCAATCTCACATGGCAGAGTTACCATTTATTCAGTTTGACTTATCCTTAAATGACAGGTCTTTCTATCGTATCATCATTAACTAAAACTCGTTTACCCAGTTTGGAGACTATTGAGAAAACTTAGCTTCCTGAGCATGAATACCTCATAAATTTTTTTCATTTTTTTTTTTAAGATTTTATTTATTTATTTATTTTAGAGAGAGAGGGAGGAAAGGAGAAAGAGAAATATCAATGTGTGGTTGCCTCTTGTGCACCCCGTGCTGGGGAACAGCCCACAACCCAGGCATGCGCCCTGACCAGGAACCAAACCGATGACCCTCTGGTTCCCAACCCATGCTCAGTCCACTGAGCTACACCAGCCAGGGCTGAATACTTCATAAATTTAAGAGAAAGCATTTAACTATTTCAGACTGAAATTCAAAAAGTATTTTTTTCCATACATACTCCCCAGATTGCTCTTTTCTCCAGCTATACTGTTACTGACTTGTGTTTTCAGTGTAACCCATTGTGACTCATTACACTATTTTCTAAATATCTGTAAATAATTCTCTTTTCAATATTTTCTACCAAAAGTACTTTTAGCTATCAACATAAACAACAGAATTTGACTTTGGCACCATGAGAATTTGAGTATAGATATACTTGCTTTTGCCTGGTTGTGAATTTACTAATTTATCATGCTGCCTGGGACAGGAAGCTTTCTCAACAGCAGTCCCCAGTGGGACTCTCTCCCAGGCTCCAGATCTTCTAACTGGGGAAGATTCTTTCTGTCCTGTTCATTGTTTCCTTATGCCCCGTGGCCTCCAGAAATGCTTACAGCAAAAAATGAGGACTTACAGTGTTGTCCTAATCTTCTATAGATCAACTGTGTATCAGCATAACAATAAATTTATTTCCTGAAGCCATTGTTTGTCTTCCTAAGATATTTTGAAAAACTTTAGCTCATTATCTTTAAAAAGGCTTGATTAACTTATAGTATGTGTATGATTTTTTAAAATTGTAATTATTAATACTTATCATAAATATTAAATATTTTTTAGTCCTTCCACAAGCAATAATATTCCACTGATGAGGGTCGTACAGTCCATCAAGCACACAAAGAGGAAGAGCAGCACTATGGTGAAGGAAGGATGGATGGTCCATTACACCAGCAGGGACACCTTGGTCAGTAATCACAGACATTTAAATATGGTAGTGAAACTTTGTTATGTTCTGTATCATGCATTCTTAAATCAAAATGAGAATCAGATATATATATTTGTAAAGATTTTTAAAAGGCAGGATATTTAATGTATTGTGAACTGGTATGGCAGTAGAGTCAGAAAGGGTCCAAGGATAGACCCTTTGCATAACCTTTTGCAACACCAAATGTGTAACCTATGAAAGAAATCATTGATAAGCTGTACTTTATTAAAGTTAAAAAATTCTGCTCTACTAAAGACACTGCCAAGAGAATGGAAAGGCAAGCTACAAACTGGAAGAAAATATTTGCAAGAGACATTTGATAAAAGACTTCTCCAAAATATGCAAAAAACTCTTGAAACTCAAATGTAAGGAAAGAACACAATTTAAAAAATGGGCCCAGTCCTAGCCAAGTGGCTCAGTTGGTTGGAGTGTATCACCCCATACACCAAAAGGTTGCAGATTTGATTCCCAGTCAGGACACATAGCTGGGTTGTGGGTTCGATCCACAGTTGGGGCACATGTGGGAGACAGCTGACCGATGTTTCTCTGTCACATCAGTGACTCTCTTTCTCAAATCAAACATATCCTTGGGTGAAGATAAAAAATCTTTTTATTGTATTTTATTTATTTTAGAGATGGGAAGGAAGGGAGAAAGAGAGGGAGAGAAACATCAGTGTGTAGTTGCCTCGTGTGCACCCCCTACCAGGGCCTGGCCCACAACCCATGCATGTGCCCTAGACTGCGAATCGAACATTTGACCATTTGATTCACAGGCTGGCACTCAGTCCACTGAGCCACACCAGCTAGGACAGATAAGAATTTTTTTTTAAAAATCGGCACAGAACCTTGACATATACCTCACCAACAAAGGTGCACGGATGACAGATAAGCACATGAAAAGATGCTCCACATTATATATCATCAGGGAAATTCAAATTAAAACAAGCTACCAGTATATACCTATTAAAATGGTTGAAATCCAGAACACCGACAACACTAAATGCTGGTGAGGATATAGAGCAACAGGCACTTTTCATTCATTGCTGATAAGAATGCAAAATGGTACAGCCACTTCAGAAGACAGTTTGGCAGTTTCTTATAAAACTAAAGGTGTTTTTATCATATGATCTAGAAATTATACTCTTTGCTGTCTACCATAAGAAGATGAAAATTTATATCCATATGAAAACATGCATACGCATGTTTATATTATCTTTATTCATAATTGCAAAGCTTGGAAGCAATGAAGTAATCTTGAGTAGGTGAGTAATAAGTGAACTGTGGTACATTGAGACAGTGAAATGTTATTCAGCACTAAAAAGCAGTGAGCTATCAAGCCATGAAAAGACATGGAGGAATCCTGAATACATATTATTACGTGAGAAACTAATAAACAGAGTCCACAGACAAGAAAATATAAATGACTCAACATAGCACGATCTTAAGATACAATTTAACATTTCACTAAATACCAGTGAAATTATCTGTATATCAAACATCAAATAGTTTAATAACATACAGCATTCGTGAAGGTGTGAGTACACAGGCACTCTCATGTTGCTTGTTAACCCTTAAATTGGGTGAAATCTTATGTAGGGTAATTTAATACTCTCAGGCAAAATTACATGTAAATATATCCTCTGACCCAGCAAGCCAGCCTTTAGAAATTTAGCCAATAGGTAAATTCCATATCTGTGTGTGTGATACATATATATTTGTGTGTTCATGTATAAAGTTCTCTGAAAGGATTCCCAAAACTTAGCAATATTGCTGTCTATACATAAGGATAGGAATGGTGATGGGCGTATACTTTTCACTATGTACCTTCTATATTTTCAGAATTTTAAACCTAATGAATTTTAAACCTATTAAAAAGTACATGTAATGTACTTTTAGAATGAATAGAAATGGAGAGGTACTTGGGAGGAATCATTATTTGAACTTCAGTTTTATTTTATAGAGAAAGAGGCATTATTGGAGACTTGACAGCAAATGTCTAACATTGTTTCAAAACGAATCTGGATCAAAGTATTACAAGGTAAAGATTTCACCTTTTTAAAGATATGTGCATTAAAATAGTGTGTTTTCCAAATATATCTGAGTAATATTCATTAATTGTTATATTGGAATATACCCGTTAGGACTCTGCCTGATAGTCTTTAGGAGTCACTGTGCAGTTCCTTGTTGTTGAAGTACCTGACCCCTGCCAGTCCATCTCATTCCCCACCGTAGTTCTGCTGCCAAAGGCTGTTCTGTGTGTGTGTGTTCCTTGTTTTTGGTTTGCCTGTCAGGTTGCTGCTGCTTTGCTTTTGGTACAGTGATTTAGATTAAACTGTTTAGAAACTCACACAATCATTGTGTGTCCAGAACAGGCCAACATGGTATTGTTTTTACCTTCCATTTTACCTTAAATCCCAATTCCCAGATGCTGCTTTTGGCTGTCCATCTACTTTGTACAGTATTCTTTGCTTGGCTTGCTCCACATTTTGCCATGTCACTGACTGACACCAAAATGATTATAATTCTATCGATAAGGAAGAGACTAGAAACAAATGACTTAAAGTTAGTTGGGGTTTATTTGATATAACCTTTTTTTGCCTTAGGAAGTGGACTAACCATAAATGATTGTTACAGTTATGTACAGAATCAGACATTCTCATTTGCTGCTATTATGTCTGCTTTGCTCTCCTTTTGGAGAGGTACAATGTGGGGCAAAAGTAGGTTTACAATTGTGAGTGTGCAGAACAGGGTTTATTCTTGTTACTGTTTATTAATTATTGTTGTATTTTCCATACAAACAACTGTAAACCTACATTTGCCCACTTTGTATCTCGCAGGCAGCAGCCAGTATAAAAGTACTGGTTGAGTTGATTTAATGACAATTGGGAAGTGACGTGTATTGTCTACAGCAGCCATTGGCTTCTTAAGTCCTCTCCTTCCTTACATTCTAATGACCTGTGATAGGGAATTACTGACAGTTCAGATACTTCATGCTCTGCCTCTGGCCTTGCTGCACATGCAGACTATTCGAGGAGGATATTCTCACAGGGCTTGACTGTATGTTCCATGGGCCACATACGTGTTTGTATTAATAGCATGTATTAGAAATGCATGTTTTTGGTTAAGTATATTGAAAATAAAAACAAAGTTTTATATTTTCCAATGCTTCATTTTTACTTCAGGAAATTCCACTTTCAGAAATTCTCCGCATATCCTCGCCACAAGATCTCACAAACATTTCACAAGGCAGCAACCCGCACTGTTTTGAAATCATCACTGATACTATGGTATACTTTGTTGGTGAGAACATTGGAGATAGCTCTCACAATCCTGTTCTTGCTGCCACTGGAGTTGGACTTGACGTAGCACAGAGCTGGGAAAAAGCAATTCGCCAGGCTCTCATGCCTGTTACCCCTCAAGCCAGTGTCTGCACTTCTCCAGGGCAAGGGAAAGATCACAGTAAGCAATATGCTTGTTGATGGCTTTTTTCCCCTTCGGTTCTTAAGCATTTTGTGGTGTGGTCATATTTTCTGTATGTATTTTTAATGCTCATTTTAAGCTTTGGTGTTAACAAAGCTTAAAGTTAATTCCTTTATACAGTTAGGTTGGTTATAGAGTATACATGAAGTCCCCTAGAGCCAGGCTCCAGGGTCTGTCTCCCTACATTTAAATCCTGGCGTGGCCAGCTTACTGTGTGATCTTAGACAAGTACTGTGCCATTCTGAAACATTACCTTCTTTACAGGGTGGTCAGTACTAAATGAAGGAAGACATGTAAGATATATATAACAGTGTTTAGCGTCCATCCATGAATTATTGTTGGATTAACTACTAGTATTAGTATTTTGCTTCAGTAACAGGCTATAAAGTCTTACGGTTTGTTCACATCATGCTCATGAAATCTGTGAAGTCAGAAATGCTCTGTTTCTTTTAATCGAATTAAAACATTCGGAAATATTTTAAAATTATGGAAACATATATCCTTGGCACCAACAAAATTTGATCAAGGTTCAATTGAACACTAAGTCAGAAAGCCATAGTATAATGGCACTTTTCCTCCACTGGCATGTTATTTACGGGGAAACATAACTCATTTATTAAACAAATATATATCTAAATTGAAACAGACATCAGCCAGTTTCTAAGTATAATTTATTTCAGTTCAGCTATATTTTGTGCAGCTATTCTTGGCATTATGCTAAGTCCTGAGCTAGAATACAAAAGAAAACAAATTTTAAAGGCCATTTAAGGAGAAAAGACATATATGCACAAGTGTTAGATGGTAGCATGAAGCAGTAGAGTGCCAAAATAAGTAATGCATTACTCAAACTGCATAGGAAGCATAAACAGAGATTTCCTGGTAGAAGAACCTGATTTGGGCCTTGAGCTTGGATCGCAGGTAGGTGAGGACAGGCAGGGCTAAATGGCAGAGGCGGGTGGGGTCGTGTTTCCTAGTTGAGGAGAGAGTGTGATCAAAGGGAGAGATGTAATGAGCAGGAACACGTTTTTGTGTCTGATGTCATTAGAGGATGAACTGATGGATGTTCACAGTGCTTCTCAAGTTTGGAGGGATTGTAGACAGAACTGTAGTATATTTTAATTAAAATCATAGACCTTCTCCCCTATATAATACAGGCACATACACACAAATTATGTATATGATTGGATTTAGGGACCTCCTCCCTAGGGTTAAGGGTTTCTAAAACCAGAACTGGAGAAGGGTTAAGAGTGAAGATTCTGGAGAATGAAACCCCAGGTCTGCCCCTTAGTAGCTATGTGATCTTGGCCTCTGCATTTAAATCTCTCCTACATATGGTGTCAGATGGGTGAGAGATTTATTGGGATGATCACTTAGTAACAAGTATAATATCTAATCACTGAAACCAATATAATATTGTATATCAAGTGTAATTGAAAAATAAATATAATTTAAAGTAGAAAAAAACTGGATTGAGCTAGATAGTACAGGCCTTTGAAACTAAATATTGATTTAAAGTAGGAAACTGTGACTACTGAAAAGCAGAGTTTTAAACACATTAATTTTGTTGATGCTGTGCCTTGTTTCATTAATCAATATTTGAAATATTTTTAAATTGACTAAAAATTGAGTTTTTACAGTCATATTCCTTATTTTTTTAGCTATATTTCACTTAACATTTCCTTGTTAATGGCGTTTTATATTTTGAATTATAAGGGAAATTTTGTATCTTGTTTCTTTGGTTGTCTCCAAGAGTCTGGGTGTTTGATATCTAGTCTCTTGCTTACTTTCCATGTTCCCCCATTCTCTTTTTCCTGATACTTTCTTTACTTCCCAAGTGATACAAACCTTTAAACTTTGTAGAAATATATAAAACAAGAAAGCGCTCCCTATACACATAAAACGTCCCCCCATTCCCAATTGCATATCTCCCTCAGAAAATAATTAATAGTCTGGTGTATATTTATTGGTTTGGGGGAGGACAGGGGAAGGCACCTATACTACCTATACTATATTATATTTTTATAAAAAATGTAGTTATACTCTGTGTTCTTTCTGCAACTTTCTGTTATCCACTATTTCATATGTATCATACATTTCAATGTCAGTATATTGATTTATCTAATTTTGAGATTTTTTATTAAAATAATATATATGCTTCTTATGTTTTAAAAATTACAAACTGTATAGAAGTATATAAAGACTGAAATCTTTGTTCCTCAACTCTGGCTCTCTCACTCACTGGAAGTCACCTTGTTTTTGTTCGTTTTTAATTCAAAGCTACCACCCTGCAACTTACCTTTATCACTTAATGATAGGTCATGGATACCTTTTAAATGTTTAGATAGTATTCCTTCATATAGATGTGCCATATATAATTGAACCAGTTCCCTCTTCCTGAATTAGTGTTGCATGTGTGAATTTTTTTTAACAAATGTAATTACATTATTTTAACTGAATGTTAGCCAGTGTTTTAAATTTCATATACTCTGGGTATTCACATATCAGTAAATATTAATATTGTTAAGTCATATACTAACAATCTTGTTCTTACCTCATACGTCATTCTTATATTTTACAGAAGATTTGTCTACCAGTATCTCTGTATCTAATTGTCAGATCCAGGAGAATGTGGTAAGTAAAAATCACCCTTCCGTGGTATCCTCAAGTTTCACATCCATGGATTCAACCAAGCAAAAATACTGTTTTGGCTCTGCAGTTGACTGAATCCGCAGTTGCAGAGGGCCAACAGTAGTTAAGTTTTGGGGGAGTCAGAAGTATTGTGTTGATTTTCAACTGCATGGGGGTTGTCATCCCTTACCCTCACATCATTCAAGGGTTAGCTGTACTGATTATTGTGTGGCAGACACTGGACATCTTGACACTTTATATACTCAGAAATCTAGTGAGATAGATGTTATTATACCCACTTTCCCAAGAAGAAATTGAGGCTAGGAGACTAAATTATTTGAGCGACTACCATGAGACAGGAGCTGGCTGGGAATTAAACAAGATAGAGAGTCCTGAACTTCATGGAGAATGCAGTACATACCCAAACAGAAGAGTGGCCTTAACTGAAGAGCTGTCGGTGGCATTGGAGAGTGTGTCCCCCTCAAAATTTCTGACAACCACTATTGTTTAAGAAAACAAAAAAGGAAGGAAGGTAGGAAAGGGGAGGGAGGTCGAAAGAAGGGATGAAATTGTGAAGTGGATTGGAATTCCAGATTTTTCTCATACATACTCTTTTTATTAGTCTTTCCAAATTAGCCTAATGTTAATAATATGAACCTTTTGAGTTTTCTTTTTAAACATAGCAAATCTCTTTAATGGTAAAATAGGTAAAACTTTGTTCTTAACTTTTTTATGTTAATTTACTTTTTAATTCACTACTTAATAAGTCTTAAGATTTTTTTAGTCAAAGCATTTTTTTCCAACTGTCTTCTTTTTTTTTTTTTAAGATTTTATTTATTTATTTTTACCAAGGAGAAGGGATGAAGAAAGAGAGGGAAAGAAACATCAATGTGTAGTTGCCTCTCATGCTCTCCCTACTGGGGGACCTGGCCCTCAACCCAGGAGACTGGGAATCAAAGCAGCGACAGTTTGGTTCGCGTGCGGGCACTCAGCCACTGAGCCACCCAGCCAGGGCTCCCAAAGGTCTTCCTCCAGAGTTCATTATACTTGCACATTGAGAGTGATAGTATGAAAATGAGGCTTACTTTTCTAGAACATAGAAAGCCTGTTCATAAAGTATTGTTATGAAAATTAGTTGCCTATGTCATAAAAATGAGAATGTACTTAAGCATTTGAATGAAAAGAGTTAGAGGTGTTGACAGTGCTTTGTATAGGTAAATTATATTTACTGCTTCCTCTTTTCTAAATAATAGGACATCAGTACTGTTTACCAGATCTTTGCAGATGAGGTGCTTGGTTCAGGCCAGTTTGGTATCGTTTACGGAGGTGAGTAGTCATTTGTATATTGTATACACTGTAGGAAAATTGTGAAATTTTACATCTGCCAGATGTTACATCTTATGACATTAACTTACAGAATTAGAAAATTAGTTTCATAGGAGCCTTGCTTTATTCCTGTAGCTCATACATAAAGATATTTGTGTGGGAAAAATAAGTAGTTTGAGGTTTATGTTGGGCTGTTAGGCTTGTTTATTGAAGTATATGCCCTACTGATTTTCCACACAAACAGTGCCATTTCTCTACTGTTTGCTGTGTGACTTAGGATATTGGCAAAGTCGTTTAACCTCACTGTGCCTCGTTATCTTTACCAGTTTAATGGAGTTGATAAAGCTGATCTGCATAGCTCACAGGGTTGTTGGTATTAAATTTAATGTATATAAGGGTATGTACATGAAGCTATGATCCACATTACAAAAGAAATGTAATGTTAAACTCCTGTCATCCCTTGCTGAGAAATTACAGTAATCTCCTAGTTGGCCTTACTGCCTCCAGGCTTGCTCTTAGATGTGGTTAAATCACTCTGGGGTGATTCAGTGAACCTAGAATAAAATTAATCCATTGGTACAGTGTTTCCATCTTGATAGTCTCTGAATACCAGGTCAGGGAAGTTACTCATTTACTTAATAAAGTAGGTTATTTTTCACCAAAAAGTTGATTCAAGTTTCCTACCATTTCAAATAATGAAAAACCTTTTATAAGGCACAAATTCTGTAGAGGGAGAACATAATTTATTTCTCAAAATTAAAAGTGAGTGAAGGAGAAAGAGAAAAATGAGCCCAAGAAAAGAAACTTAAGAGTAAATCCATCCCTGGTTGATATGGCTCTGTGGATTGAGTGCTGGCCTGCAAACTCAAGGGTTGCCAGTTCATTTCCGAGTCAGGACACATGCCTGGTTGTGGGCCAGGCCCCCAGTGGAGTGGGGAGGGTGCAGAAGAGGCAACCACACATTGATGTTTCTCTCCTTGTCTTCCTTCCCCCTCTCTAAAAATTAAATAAAATTTTTTTAAAGTAAATTTATATAAATTTGTGTCTGTGAACAACTTTCTGATAAGCTTGTGTGTATAAGTTGTCAATTTGCTTTTTCTTTTTTGTCTATACTTTTTTTTTTAACTAGGAAAACATAGAAAGACTGGAAGGGATGTGGCTATTAAAGTAATTGATAAGATGCGATTTCCTACAAAACAGGAAAGTCAACTCCGTAATGAAGTGGCTATTTTACAGGTAAAAAAAAAAGTTGTATTGGTTTTAATTTTTGATTTATGAATTTTAAATCAAAGACTGTTTAGTACTGGTAAGGTTCATTTTTTTGTTTGTTTTGTTTTGGTCTCATGTTATGACCTTTTGGCTCTGAGAGGGTGGACATCTGAATTAACTCCTTTAGTCTTTTTTAAAAAGGAAAAATTAGATTACAGTAAGGTAGGAGTTAGGTGGACTGCCATTATTTTGTGTTATGGTAGTAATTTATTGAGAACTCATTTTTATAAGTAAAATCTTCTTTAAAAAATAAAATATCAATCTTAATTCAGGTGCTTAAAATAATTGACACATTTATCATTTTTTGGTGAGGTCACTTTTGTACCCACCCAATTCTCACAGATGACATGCTTGATTATTATAGCAATTACTATAAAAATAAAGACTGCTTAAAAATTGTTTACCTCTTAAAAGTAGTATTTGTTATTAAGTCAGAAGTCTAAAGATTTAATTTAATAGTTTAATTCATTGAGGTATATTTTAAAATATATATTGGCAATGATTTAAATCCCATAAAATAAATTACTCTGTATTATTTTTTTCTTTTTTTTTGCAACATGGGGGTTTCATTTAATAATGAAAATGATGGATATTAACTTTCTGTTCTTACACTGTTACATTCTGATAGGTTCCTTATAGGCATGATAGGTCAGTGGTTTCATTACTAACTTAACAATTGGCCAGTGTCCTATGGTTAAACTGTTGTACACCTTCATTTTGGGGGTAGTACTTTATATGCTAAATGGAAAATATTAGAACCACTGCAGTTCATTAACAAAAATTATATTATTACAGAGAAAGCCTATCTGTGGCAATAATAATTTCTTTCGTTTTTTGACATACAAAGCTGCTTTTTAAAAATTTTAATTTAATCTTTATTATACTTTTTTCCCATTACCATTTAGTCCTCTTATATCCCCCTCCCCCAGCAGTCACCACTCTGTTGTCCACATTCATGCATCCTTTTTCCTTTTTGCTCAGTCCCTCCACCCCTCACCTCCCCACCCCTCCCAATAGCTGTCATCTGCTCTCCAACTATAAGTTATTTTCATTTAACATTTTTATGTTTTTTGGGCGTCATCTAGAAGACTAAAATGTAGCTTTTATCTTTTTAATTTTTCTGATAAATGTGTATCTTAAATGTTTATCTTTTTAATATCTAATATGCAAGTTTCTATTAACTCATTGAGTAGCTTTGCGTAGTATGTAAGAAATCTTGGTGATGTGACAGTTAATGCTGTCTGACACGGACACCAGCCAGCAGTGTCTGCGGCTTTATGGATGAGATATGAGATAAATTCACACGGACTACCAAGTCCTGTAGAGGAAAAGGGATGGCATGGCCACTGCCTCAAGGGGAGAGCGCCCCACGCCCTTGCCTAGGCAGGCTTTTTATTGGGTTTCAGTTTGCACAGGAATACAGGTAAAGTTCATTAATCATTGCCAGGCAATAAGGATCAAACAATAGATAACATACAAAGAACTCTGAGGGCTTATTCTGAGTCAGGGTCTGTTAGCTGAAGGGCTACAAAACTTTGGGAAACAAACTCATTTCTTGTTCGGACCCTTATCATTTAATTGAGAGCATGCTTAGCAAAGCAGGTTTCACAGAATTTTATGTCTTCTTTCTCAGGCTTGATCACCCGGGGAACCCGCCCTTTCTAGCACAGGGCTGCACCGCCCTCTGTCATTGTTTCAGGATTAAGTCAGGCAGAGGAGGCAAGATAGCCAAGAAATTAGGAGACTTCTCACAGACAGAATGAGGACTCAGGTTTTGTCAAAGCTGAGGGGCAAAAGGGGGTAATGGACCCTTGGGGCCTCCACGTGATCGTGCCTGTCTTAGGTCGTTCCCCCCTTGGGGAATCTTACCCATCATTGGCTAACCAGTCAAGCATTGGGGGCCAGTTATGGATGAAGTAAAATGAGCAGAAGTGGCACCCCTGCAAGGGAAATAAGCTTTGTCTCCTTAGTGGCTTATTGTCCAAAGGTCGCTCATTCAGCCTTAGCCATGAGGGGGGTTACAGCTTTTGAAACGAGGAAGGGCGGCTCCCAACAGCTGTGAGTGCCCTCATCTGCTTGTGGGTGAAGTTGAAGAAGACACACAGCTCACTGAACTTGTGCTTCCTTGAAGAAGGTAAGAAAGTTATAAATACATAATTAACTTTATATTTATTATATTATTGGTCACTAGCAGTAACATTTCCCTCACTTCTTTTTCAGAGGAGTGACAATCAAAGATTGGTCTGCAAGCTCCCTCGCTCACTGCAAGGCTGCCTGTTGCAAGGAAAGCCAGCATAGAATATTATTAGCATTCTCACTCTGTAGTAGGGAGTGGATACATTGTTAAGAGATCTTTTTTCATACCTAATTTTGGAATCTTTCTCATTGTCTAATATGCAAAAAATAAATATTAAGGATATACTCCTAAAGCGTGATTTCTTGATGTCACTTTGATCACAAGCACAGAACCTCTTTTCACCTGTGTTATCAATTCTGGGCCACAGTAACTGAATAATGCACATGTAAAAACTGTTATTATATCCTTCTGGTTATTTTCCTTGAAATTGCCCAACTGGGACTAGAATTAAGTGAATATAACATGTCTTCAAGTATAATGCTGCTTGGAATACCACGATGTTTTAGGCTGATTAGTAAATTGGAACGTTACCTTGTTTTAAGTTGATCAGTAAACAATATTTTGTGCTTCTGCATTTTTCTAAACATTTTTTAAAAAGAACCACCATAATTTAGACATTGAGTTAAAAATGACTAAGACACAGTCTCTGCCCCCCAGGGAGCTAATGAGACTACAGAGTAAGATACATACACACATAATGTGGTGTCGTGGGTTAAGCATTGCTGAGCATGTAGAGTATAGTGGAAACAGTTGCAGTAGTCCTAAAAAGAAGTAATGTGAGAGCTAAAATGAAGGCACTTCCAGGGGGAATTGAGAGATGATGGTAGATTTTAAAAACATTTTAGAGATGGAGTTCAGCTTCACAGAGGCAAAAAAAAAAGTTTGCCTTCTTAGCATAATTAGATACCAATAATAAGGGGAAAATGTAACAAAAAATATATTTCTGTTTATAAGAAATAATGAGCTTAATCATTTGGGCAAACAGAGAATATTTAAGATGGAATTGGGATAGTGAAGCCAGATATGTTAAGATTTTAAAATGGAAGCAGAGGAATTTAGATTTATGCCCGGAAATAAAGAGCCATTAAACATTTTTTAACATGGCTGACTTCTCAAATTTGCTTTAGAGGACATTTTATTTATTTTTCTCCAGTAAGATAGGTCACTTTTTATTAGCAGAAACAGTATCACATTCATCTTTGTATTGTCCAACCCTTGTAACATAGTACAGTACTCCAGAAACAGGATGATGGAGATACAGAGATGTTGAGCCTAAAACAGGGAAGACCAAATCAACATGAAGGAGAATCCAGACTTGAGTAAATAAGTACCTTAAAAACAAAACAATCTCTTGAGCAAAAACCTTCACAAATACCGGCCCCGAAGAGCTCTGTGTAATTGACTCGAATCTGGCAATTGGTCCCTACTCATGGACAGCATAAGGTTAATGTCAGAAGATTAAAAAGATGAAAAGGAAAGGTAGTGATAATGGACAAGGGCAGTTGTAGGATCATATTGAGGACACGTTCTTTCCCCTCAGTGCTTAACTCGCCACAACTTGGAAAAATCATAATCTATGATGCTTTTTATTTTCTTTGCTTCTATTATTTTTCTAAGCTGTTTTTCTTTCTATGCCATGTATTCCATACAATTAATCTTGCAACTTTTCAGAACTTGCACCATCCTGGGATTGTAAACCTGGAATGTATGTTTGAAACCCCAGAACGAGTTTTTGTAGTAATGGAAAAGCTGCATGGAGATATGTTGGAAATGATTCTGTCCAGTGAGAAAAGTCGACTTCCAGAACGAATTACCAAATTCATGGTGACACAGGTATTTAACTCTTCTTTTAAAACCAGAGAATAATTTTTCTGACAATAAAAGATAACTGCTTAGTTTTTTATTTTAATTTTGACTTTATCCTATTTTAAAAGTTGTCTTTTATATTAACATTGTTTTCTCTTTATAATTTTTAAATTATAGTTGACAAAGTCTTATATTAGTTTCATGTGTACAGAGTAGTGATTAGACATTTGTATACTTATAAAGTGATCACCCTGGCAAGTTTATGCCCATGTGATACTTACTATACATAGTTGTTAGAATATTATTGACTGTCTTCCCTATGATGTACTTTATTTTTTATTAAATAGCATTATGTATATTTTACATTTTCATAATGTGGGAATTGTTAACCTTGAAGAATAGAATAACACTTTTAGTGGATGACCTGTAGTGGACTTTTCAAGTTACTGTGCCATTTAATGAGTCAGATTAGGGTTTAGGTATAACTTTTCCAGGCATTGAAAAAAATCTGTTTTCTTCTGTGACAGATACTTGTTGCTTTGAGGAATCTACACTTTAAGAATATTGTGCACTGTGATTTAAAACCAGAAAATGTGCTACTCGCATCAGCAGAGCCATTTCCTCAGGTGAGATATTCTCTAAACACCTTCAGTATCATTTTAAGTAGCTGACTGCATTACAAAAAACCTATGTAACAAAAGGGAGTGCTGTAGGTTCAAATATATAACCATTTTCCAGAAGTGGTTTCAGCCTGTTAACTGCCAGTGAGGATTAGTACCTGAATAGTTTGAATTCAGATTTTACTAATTGTATTGTTTATTTTCATTAAGGCTTTTTAGACTTAATCAGATCTCAAGGAATACCTCCTGCACATATTGTTCACAATTCACCTCTCTTTGTGGGTTGGGAATGAAGTGGGGGAGGGTAAACCTTGGTAGCTAGGTGCTCCTTGCTCAGGACAAATTCCCCACAAAATAAAGCAAACCGGAGGGTAACTTTGATTTTGGAGATAATAGATTTTGATATCTAGTGGGCAGTAAGGGAACTCCTTTTGCTCTTTAGAATGTTATATTTCAAACAGTTTCACCAAAACCAACATATGAATGACATTTCCCATCACCACCAGCACTCACATGTATATGAGGATATTGTGTGTACGCCTTATGCGTGATGCATTGATTTTACTCACTTAACTTTCATTTCACTGAAAGATGTTGATCTTGATCCAAATTTATTTCATAACCTAAAAATGGATCATAACCTGAAGTTTGAACAGTTTTCCTGAGGATATATGTTGTAGTACGTACGTTTTTCATTATTATGTCATTGATGAATCCTCCAAATAGCTAGAATATCTGTTGCCAAACTGTTGATGTACATTTAAACTATGTCCAACTAGACAAATGGCTGGAATAAAAGCAGCAAATGGCTATGTGTAAATTCAATTACTATTGTCTTTCAAAGAAAAAGTATTTTTAAAAATTACTACCCCTTTTTAAAGAAGAAATCATACTTTCTTTTATAATGCCTATATGATTAGAAGTGATTCCTTATCACTGTGAGGTCAAAAAGGATTCCCTAATAGTTGGTACAATGTTTTAAATAAAATGCTTCCATATCGCATCTCATTAGATCTTCAGAATAGTATGGGCAAAGGGTGCACAACCCTAGAGCTAAGGCTAAATCTCCAGCTTCGTGGCTTCCGCTTTAGCAATTCCCGTTGTTCCACTAAGAACAAAGGGAAAATACCATCATTTACCTGAAAGTCTTTTTTGCTCAAGTGCTAGCCATGGCCATACTTTGTTATTCAGTTGCCAAACTGCCAAGTCATCTTTATTAATATATTAGCTAAACTGTGGCTTTTAAGAAAAAAAATAAAAAGGATAGTTCATATTTCTTCATGGTCAATAGTCATGTTCTTCGAAGGCTCAAATAGAGAAGTGGCCAAATTCAATGACATAGAACAAATACCATCCTAAAAACATGTATGAAGGTCCATATCCCCCAAATAGTATCACTTGAATATGCCTTCATCTTTGCTGTCCCATCACTCTTTGCACCACTGGCTCAAACAGGCCACATCCCTGCTTTCATTTTATATTAATGCTTTTCTGAAGACATTTTGTGAATCAGGGCATTTCCTCTAAAAGGGCTTGGTATGTGCTTATTCAGCATGAATGCATCATTCATCACCAAAATCTGAACCTCCTACTAGAAAGCAGCAAGATAAGTGTTCTGAGCTTTGCCAGGCTTATCCCACTTCTGGAACTCTGTTCCCAGATGGACATGTTAGTGACATGACTACCTTCAGATACAACTTTAAAAATCTAAACATCTGGTTAGCAATAATTTGTTCCACAAGCATAGAAAAAACACTGTTATTCTTTTAAGCAAATCTCTTAAGTATATTTCAATTTCATTTATTTGCCAATTTATAGTATCCTTGGGAAGAGAGATTCTAAGATTAAGCAAAATAAAGGGTAAGTTTTTAAATATCATAACTTATTTTCATTCAATAAACATTTATTAAGTACTTTTATGTGCCCAGGCACTGTGAGTCCACTGAGAATTCAAAAATGAAACATTATTCTTGTTCACAGATGATGGAAAAATAATCTTAAACTCCAAATGATAAGAAATCAGCATTCTCCATTTCATGAAAAAACTTTGAACACTTACAATACCATTCTGGTATTTGACATTCTGGAAGCTAGAATCCAAAAGTGGTTTTTTGAAAGATGCGCTGTTAGTAATGAATCATAGCTTATAAATGTATTTTACCATTTCCCTCTCCACAGCTATTTCACATTCATAATCAGTACAGTTGGCAAGTATGTTGAAATAACACTATCATATTTAGGGACAGGTATATGTAGGTAGATAGATATGCATATTTAATCATATAAAACTAACACTACCCTTTGAATTCCAGGTGAAGCTGTGTGACTTTGGTTTTGCACGCATCATTGGTGAAAAGTCATTCAGGAGGTCTGTGGTGGGAACACCAGCATACTTAGCCCCTGAAGTTCTCAGAAGCAAAGGTTACAACCGTTCTCTAGATATGTGGTCAGTGGGAGTCATTGTCTATGTGAGCCTCAGTGGCACGTTTCCCTTTAATGAAGATGAAGATATAAATGACCAAATCCAAAATGCTGCATTTATGTACCCACCTAATCCATGGAAAGAAATTTCTGGTGAAGGTAAAAAAAAAAGAAAAAATTTAGCTCTGTGCCTTTTAGTCTAAAAATCTTTGTGATCCTCCATCAGCCTTTTTTTTTGACTTCTCTTTTTTATATCTCCTATTCATCTTCCAAATTCAATTTAGTTAGCAATTTTTTAGCACTTTTCTCGGTTCCCAGGCATAGCACTAATCCAGGCCCCAACTGGCTCATTTTGAAAACACTAAAATCTCTGAACTGTCCTTCCCAGTCACCACTGGGAAATGCCTCTTCAGGAAACACTACTTTCATGTTGCTGGCCTCCCTCTAACCACGCTGCAGCTGTGTCTGTGATTCGGCCCGGGCTTGCTTCTAGCCCATCTCCCACTACTCCCCTATACAGGCCTGGCTGTGTCTCCTCTTCTGCATTATTTTCTGCATTTTGCTGAGGCCTTCCCCTGCCTATAGCCCCTCCTCCCCACTACTGTAATCCTGCCATTTTAGGGACCCCTCAACTGTGGATCATCTACCAGGCTCTTCCCTGAACCCCTCCTCTAACCTGTATAAGATCTACTTTGGCTACTCGTTGGGCATATTTTTTCCTTAAATATTCTGTTGTATCTTTTCATAATCACTTTTTGTATCTTCAGAACTACACTGTAAGCTCCTTGAAAGGAGACCTCTAGCTCAGGTTCTTTATATGTGGAATGAGCTTCATAGTTAATAGACACTCACCAGTTTGTTTTCAGCTCTCCTGTGGACCCCTACTGGAAAGCTTTATACATTTATTTTTCCTGCCTGATGAAGGCTTTTGAGTTTTCTATCCCTGGTTCTGTGTCCAGCAGCAATGACCTGGTTGGCCCTCTTTAGTTTACTGATATGGATAGGAAGAGTATACATGTCAAGCATATCTAGCAGTCCCATAGAATTTAGTAGAACCACTGCTGGGGGAATATCCCCACCTGGATTTAGCCAACCCTTGAACAGGGGGTCTTTTTTGTTATTCCCCAAATATCCAACCAAAGCAGAATGATTGTCCATTAGTATGGGAAAGGTTTAAGGAGCAGCATGTGAAGACCGCAGCAGGCTCATTTGGTAATGAGCCGCGCTGACTGAACAAGTGCGTGGGAGGGCTTAGGGGTATCCCCAAGCGTCTCAGAGCTCCTGCAGCAGTGTGGTCTGTAGGCCTCTCACATCACAAAGGCTTGGTGAGGTTATAAAGTCCTCTGACTCTGTCCCCGAGATTCAGATTCACCAGTTGGAATGATGTTTTAAATAAATGCATTTTAAATAAATACCTCAAGTGATTCATTCCAATGCACATGGTAGGCCACTGTTTAAAGTGGAACAATGAATACAGGTTTGAAAGTGTTTAGACTGAAGAGAAATCCATAATTAAATTCTTATGGAAAAGCTTTGCTAGTTTAGTGGCATGTAGAAGAGAAATAGAACTAGTGTTTGCCACTTAGTTCTTCCTACGTCCAGGCCTTCTCAGTATTTCAGTTGTATCACTACATAAAGCCAGAGGCAGAGTGTAGTTGTATGGCTGCTTTGGTTTTGCAGTTGGTCCATTTATCCAAATAATTGGATAAACTATATGTCAAGATCTCACCAAATACAGAACACCATGAACTTGTTAAGACCTGTTGAGTATGTAACTCAAAACCTAATAACCCTAACCTTAACCTTAAACCTATCCCTGTCTCCTACCCTAACCATAATCCTAACCCTAAACCTAATTTAAAATCAAACCCTAATCTCAAATCTAACTCAGACCCTAATATTAATACTAATCATTCAACCCTAAAACTAACTCTAAAAATTATCCTAACTCAAAACCAATTCCTAAAGGTCATCTAGCCCTTTCCCTGTCCCCAACCTAAAACGTAATTTGAACCTAAACCATAATCTTACAGATAATTCTTACCCTAACCCTAGTGATAAACTCAACCCTCACCTTACCTAAACACTAAACCTAATCCTATGGCAAAACCTAACCCAATCCTAGCCCTTCCCTGAATACAATCTAACTGTAATTTAAAACCACACTGATTTAAAAGCCAATTCTAACCCTAACCTTAACTCAAACTTTAACCATAACTTTAGTCCTAAACCTAGATTGAACTCTTACCCTAATGCTAATGCTACTTTGAACCCAAACCTTAACCTCAAAGCTACTCTAACCCTAATGGTAACTCTAGTAATAAGCTCAAGCCTAACCCTGTGTCTAACCCTAATCCTAAATCTCTCCATAATCCTAGACCTAACCTTAACCCTAACCTCTACCCTAGCTCAAACTCTACACCCTACTCTAACTCTACCCCTTAACCTAATCATAATCCTTACCCTAATCCTAATTGATACCAGCACTCTAACCTTGAAGGTAAGTTTAACTATAACCCTAACAAAAAAAACCCCAACCCTGTTAAGTATGAACTTTTGATATTACCATATTTCACCATGTATAATGTGCTCCCGTGCATAATGGACACCCACGTTTTTGCTCATATTATACACAGGATTATTCCCATGGTATGTAGTCATTATACCCAGGTATAACACCCATCGTTATCTTTCCCTCAAAAAATTGGGCAAAAAAGTGTGCATTATACACGGCAAAATATGTTACCTCTTCAGTCTAACTCCATCTTTGGAGGCAAGGTAATGGCTTTGGCAACTTTTCTAGACCAAGCCAGGGACTAGAAAGCAGTAAGTTATTGAGGGGCGGGGGGGACAAAAAAACCTACAACACCCAAAAACCAAACCCAGCTTGTAATCAGACTCTGTTTTATTGTTCTTGAAATCAAGTTAATTGCTTTGCACCATGTGCTACGTACCATTAAAAGCCCTTTACATGTATTAGGTTAATGCCATCTTCTCAACAACCTTATTTTACAGATGAGGAAGCTAAGGCAGATTATATAGTAACTGATCCCCCATCACAGAGTAGGAGGAAGAATGACTTCAGACCAGCCATGCTGGCTCCAGTCTGTACTTTTTTTTTCCCCTGAGCTTTTAAAAAAATTCATTGGGACCCATTGGTTAATAAAATTATATAGGTTTCATGTGTACATTTCTATATTACATCATGTCTATATTGTGTGTTCACCATCCAAAAAGTCTAGTCTCCTTTTGTCACCATTATCCCACTTTTACCGTCTTCTACCTCCCTCTACCACCTCCACCCCCTTTTCCTCCGGTAATCACTGTATGGTCTGTTTGCTGTGAGTTTGGTTTTTTGTTGTTGTTTTTTTTGTTTGTTTGTTTGTTTTTTTTTACTTAATCCCTTCCCGTTTCACCCAGCACTGCCCCCTCCGCCCAACATCGGTCATTCTATTCTCTTGATCTGAGTCTGTTTCTATTTTACTTTGTTAGAGTGCACATATAGGTGAAACTATATGGTATTCTTTTTCTCTGACTTGCTTGTTTCATTTAGCATAATATCTAGGTCCATGCATGCTGTGGCAAAAGGTAAGATTTCCTTTGTTTTTACTGCCAGGTAGTATTCTATTGTATGAACACACTACAGCTTTTTTCATCCACTCATCTACTGATGGGCACTTGGGCTGTTTCCAAATCTTAACTATTGTAAACATAACTGCAGTGAATATAGGGGTGCTTGCTGGGTCATAAGACAGTCCTGTATTTAATTTACTCCATACTGTTTTCCACAGTGGTTACTATTTTCCACAATCGCTGCACCAGTCTGCATTCCCACCAACAGTGTACAAGGGTTCCCTTTTCTCCACATCCTTGTCAACACTGGCTATTTGTGTATTTATTGATGGTAGCCATTTTGACAAGTGTGAGGTGATAAGATTTTAATGTGCATTTCTGATTAGTGACATTGATTATTTTTTCATGTTTATTGGCCATCTGTATGTCCTCTTTGGTGAAGTGTATTGAGGTCCTTTGACCATTTTTTAATTGGATTGTTTAGGTTTTTTGGTGGAGCTTTTTGAGTTCTTTATACATTTGGATACTAACCCTATCAGATGTACAAGGTCTGTCCAGAAGTTATCCAGCCATGTATTATGAAAAAGAAAGACATTTCTTGAAAAAGATACAAGAAACATTGTACATAGGACAGTGCTGCCTCAGTCCCCTTCAGAGTAGGCATCTTGGGACCTCACACAGTTCTCCCAGTCACCATCAGCTGCCCCATCATCTTTTCCTGAATTTCATCAATGGTCTGAAATCTCTTCCCTTTCAAAGGTGATTTTAGTTTTGGGAAAAGCCAGAAGTCACAGGGTGCCAAATCTGGGCTGTTGGGGGGTGAGTCACCTGGGTGATTAGGTGTTTCACCAAAAACCTCTCCACGAGACATCACACATGAGCGAGCGTGTTGTTGTGATGAAGCTGCCCATCACCAGTTGCTCATAGCTGCGGCCTTCGGAATCATCTGAATAATTTCTGTGGAGAAATGTTCAAGCCCAATGCAAAATTTGGTACAGACCCATTGCTGTACTCACTCAGTCACTTTGAAGTGACGGCCACACAGTACACGTGCTCACTCAGTGGGCATCTCCTCCCCTTACTGACTAGCACAGTGAAGTCATCATTGTTCACTCGTGTGCATTGCAGTCCAGTCTCCTTGGCTGCCAGGTTACATCCATGTCGAGCACCCTGTTCTTATATTAACAGTGGTTGGACTTTTCCCAGACAGACCTTATGTTATTGGTGAATGTGGTCTCCCATTGTGGGGTTGTCTTTTCATTTTGTTAGTTTCCTATGCTGTGCAAAATCTTTTTAGTTTGAAGTAGTCTCACTTGTTCATTTTTTCTTTCATTTCCTTTGCCCAGGGAGATATATTGCAAAAAATGTTGCTATGAGAATTGTCTTGAGATTTTATTGCTGTGTCTTCTGAAGTTTTTATGGTTTCGAGACTTATCTTTCAGTGTTCAGTCCATTTTTAGTTATTCTTACTTATGGTATGGTCTGGTTTCATTTTTTCACACTTATCTGTCCAATTTTCTCAACACCATTTATTGAATAGACTGTCTTTACCCCATTGTTCTTTCCTTTGTCAGATATGGGTTTGTTTCTGGGCTCCCTATTTTGTTCCTTTGATCTGTGTGTCTGTTTTTATGCCAGTACCATGCTGTTTCAGTTACTAGGACCTTGTAGTGCAGTTTCCTATCAGGTAGTGTGGTACCTCCAACTTTGTTCTTTCTCCTGGTTGCTGAGAACTATTTGGGGTCTTCTGTGTTTCCATATAAATTTTTGGAATATTTGTCCTAGTTCTGTGAAACACCCCATTGGTATTTTGATAGGAATTGTGCTGAATCTATAGATTACTCTTGGGTAGTATGGACATTTTAATAATGTTACTTCTTCCTATCAGAGTCTATACTTCTAATCTGTATCTGTATTGCCTCCTTAATAAAACAAATACACTGTAAATTCAGTTAACATTTATGGATCCACCAGGATGTAGCTTCAAGGCCAAGTCCTTGAGGGAAAAAATCCATAACCCTTTATTTCTATGGATTGGAGTGCAGAGTCGCAGGTCTGAGGTGCTTCGTATGCCCAAATTCATGTATCTAAATTTGTCTTTCCCTTAGCAATTGATTTGATAAACAACCTACTTCAAGTGAAGATGAGAAAACGTTACAGTGTGGACAAATCTCTTAGTCATCCCTGGCTACAGGTAAAAAAATCTGTCTCTCTCTTTGGCAATCCTCATTTGAACAGATCGATTTCTTTTACCTAATGAAATCACCCTAAGATCAACAGAGTCTACACTTAGAGTAACATAATTGATCTTTAGTGATTAGTTTGTACTGTGCCTGAGTCTCTGGAAGTTTTGCAGTATATCATTGAAGTGCAGGCCTGACAGGCAGTTAAACTCCCAGGAACTAAAAGCAATGAATTTGCCTTTTGTAGGGCTTTGTGTGTTCATCTCACCTTTTTGTAAGATGAACGTAACATGTTATTTTGTCAAATATATTTTACTTTTAAAATGTCCACCAAAAGGTTTACATTTGCATTGAAAAGGTTGGAAATGCCACTTCAAACATTTGGCTTAAATCCTCCAAAAGTTATTGTGTATATTGGTAAAAAGTTACCCCTAAACTTCAATGTAAAGAGAAAAGCTGTAGAACTATTTTAAAGGGAGTGAGGGGGTAGGATTAACTTCAAAAAAATGCAATCATATTCTCAGGGATTATTAAATTAATCTGAAAATAGATTCTAGCTAAGCACTTTCACCTATTAGAAGGAATAAGTTGTAGGCCTCTCGAAATATAGAACAAAATGTTTAAGTGATTGCTATTAGCTACCTCAGAAGCCTGAGACAGTATTTTTTAAATTTTAGAAACTAGGTAATTTCTTCATAGAGACTCAATTTGAAAACATATTTATCTTTAACATTGATAATTTAAAATATTACAAATGGAACTTACAGCAAGTACTCATTAGTAGGGGTTTGTCAATTACATGACTAGAGTGCTAAGCAAAAAATAAGGGTTGACAGGATTGTTTCTTTTATGGTTCATAACCACTTCATTTGTTTTCTAGGACTACCAGACTTGGCTTGACCTTCGAGAATTTGAAACTCGCATTGGAGAACGTTACATTACACATGAAAGTGATGATGCCCGCTGGGAAATACATGCATACACACACAACCTTGAATACCCAAAGCACTTCATCATGGCTCCCAATCCAGACGATATGGAAGAAGATCCTTAATTATCAATGACCTAAGAACTTTAGTAAGGAAGTATTTCATTTTATGGGCTGATATTTTGTTGCACAACTGTTGTTGGAGGTCGTCATTTGCAAGGATGCAAAGACATGAGGAAATACGATAAGGAATCAGTGACACCAATACTGTAGTTCATAATAAGTAGGTACAAGAGTGGAAAGTAATAAAAACACATAATGGAACCAAGATGAAGCTTTTCATAAATTTTATAGCATAAGAAATAACTGGTTTTTGTATTTTTTCCTAATCCTTCACTTTAGTACAATAGTGGCACTTTTATCTTCCCTTTCCTGTTCTTATATTATTTTCAAAAAAGTACAAAAAGGCAAGCTAGAATCCAGTTATTACATAGCTTGACCAAATCATATGAAAGTTATAAGGTTGATTACTGAACAGGTTTGCATTTAAGTGATGTCAGGCTGCCAGCATGCAGTTTTCTGTAAGGATTTTAAACATTTGTTTAACTGACCATACAGGGATTGAGGGGATTTTACCAGATACCTACAAAAGTAGTGCTGGACTTTTTTACCTTTTTCTTTTTTTTTTAGGTCAGTCAAGACTCCAAAACAGTGATCCCTAACCTTTTTAGAGTTGAAACTCTGAATATCCTCTCTACAACGTAAAAATTAAGTTGTCACCTTCTGTATGTTACAAAATAGCCTCCAAGACAATTTGGGACAACTGACGTTACAAACTGGGAGTAGGAACTGCTGGTCTGAGTGTTGAGTTACTATGTACAATACAGAGTCTGGCACAAATAATGCCCCCTTTTTATTACACAATAATCTTTTATTACAAAATCATAAGCATGTAATTGTGTGACATAATATCACACTCAAGCACACCATATGGCATTTTAGGTGAAATATTCAAATTGCTGTCATGTAAGACATTCATATGCCCTCATATGCCCTACCAGCCACCCTCAATGGTATTACTTCTGCTGGACCCTGTATATCTTCTCATAGCTCAACTTATGTTCCCACTAACACCATTGTGCTGCCCCAGCTGGGTTCCAGCATTCAATGGGTGTAGACCTAAACTGTACTTATACAATTTATATTTATACAGGGTTGACTAATCTGAGGGAGGAAATTAATAAGGCCAGTGCAGGGTCAGTTAAAACTATAGGACAGAATAGCAAATAGTGTCCTTTTTTCATCCCTCAGCTTAATGAAAGGCTTTACAGATAGGTGGAATGTTATTAATTTTTTATAAGTATATTTTATTGATGATGTTATTACAGTTGTCCCATTTTTTTATCCCCTTTATCCCCCTCCCCCATGAATCTCCCCCCTACCTCCTGCCATGGAATGTCTTTAAATCAGCTATTTTAAGCACTTTGAGTTGAGCATGAAACACTTATAAGGGTAGGGCTATATTCTCAGGAGAGCAAATGACAGACTAAATACTCGGCAACATTGCAGCTCCAGTAGCCAGCTAAAGAAATTGTTTTCTACTCAGATATAATACGTAACTCAAGAGGTTAAACTTTGTCATACTTTTTTAAAAGTTACTAATAGTTTCCTCCCCCCAAAGAAGTTTAATATCTGGGACTTACAAAATCTAACCGCTTTTTGTTTAACTTTTTCCCCTCCCAAAAAGAGCAAAAGATTTGGAATCAGAAGATCTGGGTTTAAGTCTTGTAAGTCTTGGCTCCTTTTGCTAGCTTCACAGGTCTGGCCAGGTGACAGTTTGTCTGAGCCTCGAGTTCCTCGAACTGTAAAATGAAGATCGTAATACTTGCCTCTGCCTTTTTCATTGTTTGAAGATTAGATATATATGAACAGAGTCAATAAACTAAAAACTATAAATTTAACTATTACTGCCCACTGAATTAGAGGCAGCAAAGAAGATTGGTCATATATGAACAAAGACTTAGAGCCATTTGAGATCTCTGAAGCTACTCCCTTAACCTAGGACTGAAAACATACTGGAGAGAATAGCAGGAAACACACAGTGTTCCCTAGTTCTGAGCTCTTTAGTTACCTTATCCTCACAACTGCCATGGGCTATGTGGCATAAGGAACCCCATCTCACAGTAAGTGAACTGAGGAACAGGGAGATAAACTAGCTGCTGAAGGTCACACAGTATTTGAACCCAAACAGTGTGGCTCTGGAGTCCCTCTGTCTCCAGGAGACATTCCACGTCTCTCAGTATTTCATTCTCATACATGAGTTTTACAAGTCTAGTTACTTCTGCAAAACTTTTTAGAAACGTGGTTTCCCTAGGATAGAAGATGATGTCCCCAAATTTCTGCTAAGTCTGTTTGTATCAACGTGCTGAAATGGCGTTAATTCTGAGTCACTAGGCACTCTGTTTTGGTTTTACTGCATAAGGTAAAAATTAACTGGAATGGTGTTTGTTTGCTATACTTACACGAGTTATAATCAAATTTTACAAGCCATGAAGTTAATTGCACTCTTTCTGTTTTTGTTGTTAAATGCCTAAGAAGTTTCCTAAATTCATAAAGGCACTGTTAGATAATTTGGAGTTAAGTAATGACTCCAGATACTGTATAACCTCTGTAACCTTTTTTTTTGGTGTTGAAGCCGTGTTTATATAAGAAATAATTGTGAGAAACTTTTGATAATGTACAAAGTAGTCTATAATGACAATGTTCAGTACATTTTTATATTTTTTGTTACATCCCACTTTTTGTAAATACCCTCGAAGAAGCTTAATAATAAAATGTATTTCCATATCACCATGCTTTTCCATGTGAAAACCTCAGCCTGTCTCTCTAGTCAAGGTATCCAAAGAAAACTTTATTTGGTTGTATTATATTCTCAGGCCTTGGTAAGAGAACCATTTTGGAAATGGTATTTGTAAATGGAACTAATGCTATATTTAAGAACACTGATTTTTTTTAACTGCCTAAAATAAAAAACTACTCATTATTATAATTTTATATGCAATTTGAGGTAATTATCTGGAGGTCTTATTTCTTGGAATTAAAGTCTGGAATAATTATAAATTTCCAGGAGCTTCCATCAAATAATCCACTTCTGCCAGAGGACTTAAATAAGCTAAACACCTAATATCAAAGTAAATTTCCTAGGTTTTAAGCTATAAGGCATTGCCTGACTCTTCCCCCTTCATTATAAAAACTATTAAATAATTGAGAGGAGCAAACCAGGGGCATTTGCATCTTACAAAAATTGTCCCAAGACTTTGGGGAAACAATATGAAGTAGCATAAGGATGACTAGGGATGGCCCAAGGCTGGATAGCATCTGGAAAATGAGGCCTCCATCTTCCTTGACTTGAGAGTGAGATAGAGAACGCTGGTCCTGTTCTCAGCTAGGCAGAGAACCAACAAAAAGCAACAGTTCATCACTCTGCCAATGAACTTCCAATATAGTTATACCAGAAGTTCAGGACACATAGCTAATATTCTTTTCCTTTAATCTCACATGTAAATTTGTGTTGCTCAAAAGGCAATTCTTCACAAAGTCCATGTGTCTGGTATTAATATAAAAGTTCTGTGAACTAAGACGAGAACTTAATAGACTAAAATTTGACATCTTGAAAATAAGGGAGAAGCAATTCAATTTAGAAAACTATTCATTCTAGGTAGTCTACAGTAGATTTAACTCATATTTTAAGTACATGTCAGGTTTACTGGTTTTACTGTGATTATTAAACATTTTAAATTCCAAATTCACAGAAGCATGTGGTGTAAAAAAATTCAAATACCTCGAAGGAGAACAAATAGAAAATTAAGTATCTTCCTACCCCTAAAACTCACTTCTAGATTGGGATATTTAATAATGATTATTGGGTATCCCTTCCTTCATATATACAAGTAAATATCACAGAACAGAAAACAGCCAGTCTTCATTAAAAGATTCATTTCTATGGAATGGGTTACAAGCATTTCTTTAAATGTAGCTTTTTTTCCAACAAAAATGGAATCCTTACTCTAAAACATTTTGCACCTACTCTTTTCACTTAATAAATCTTAGAGATCTTTCCATGTCAGAACACACTACATCATTTTTTAAAATAATACATGGATAGTTCTATGTAATCAGTCCCCTGTAAATGACCATTTAGATTGTTTCCAGTTTTTATTGAACCAATTAGTTCATGTTTACTATTTAAAATAAAAATACAGCAACTAGCTTTACTTAAAAAAGGAAATTCAGTTTCGTGATAACTTGTTTCATACCTAAGAACACAATTATTCTCACAGTTAAACTTTAAAAGATCAGTGTTCAGTTATACTGTATATAAAATGGGCCATTTTTATTGACTATGAAGAGATAAAATACTTATTTTACCTGTGATATATGAAATTAATTCCCTTTATTTTGGTTTCTTAGACAGACTTGGGGACAAAAAGTCCAAAGTTGAAATATCACTGCCAAGCAAGTTCACTAAATCCAGCTACAGGTGATGGAGAAGGTTTTGACTTCTGTGCATTTATCTGTTGGCTTCTACCACAAAGTCTCTGATGAGGCAGCAAGGCAAAAAAGTTAAATCTTTCTCCCATCTTTTTGGGGTTCATTAACATATCATACCCCTGAAGTAACTGCTGTCTCAATGATGGCTCGGCTGATTTATCTAAAAGAACCTGAAAAGAAAAGAAATTCTTAGTAAAAATAACAGAAGAAAAGATTTCTAGTTACATGCAGCAATACTAATCAGCTATTCAATAAAGCAGTGCTTAAACTGGTTTCTAATCAACTGCCTCAAAATCACGGGGCACTTATTAAAAACATAGGTTGCTGTGACACAACCCTGTGAATTTATTTGCTTAACCAATATTCCCAGAAAGTCTGAACATACAGAAGGGTTTAGATGTCCTCGGAACAGTTATAAAAGTCATACCTCTAACTGCAGTCAAGTTTTCTTAATGAACACGAACACTATTTGAAAGTCTTAATTCTAAGTCTTACGGAGATGCATGAGTCTAGGGCTGCTCCACCTGCAGGCCATCTGGTGAAACTAAATCCTACACTACTGAAAAGGCTGGAGCTCCAGGGATCTGGTTAATTAATTACAAGAACATTAAGGCCAGGTAAACTTACTTGAAATATTTGCTGGAAATACTGTGAAATTAAAATATTTAATGATAGGGAAATAAATCGTTACCTTTAGCCGGACATCAATGCCCATATTTTTTAAAAACATTTGTTGTGTTACTGGGCCCAGAGAAGCCACGCTCCCCTGTACCATTCTGCGCAAATAACTGAAGTCCACGTCAGCGGTTAGGTCTGCTGTTCCTGGGGCAATTAAGACATCATGAAGCTTGTGGCCACAAAACCCCTTGAACATAATTTTTAAATAAAGTGATGAGTTTTTATCCTTTTATGCTATTATCAAAATTTAAAATACCATCATTTAAACACATTTTATATAAGAACTGTTAAGGAAGACATGGCCTAAGGCACAGGTGGCAAACACAAGGGACAAGGTCTGAATCCGGCCCCCCACCTTGTTTTATCCACCCAGCAGCAGTGCTGAGCTCCTTGCCCCTAGTTAAGGAGTAGTTACATTTACACGGTCCTAACATTACATTCCGCCCTTTGCAGGCACCAGCGAGGCTGATGTGGCCCCCGGTGAAAATAAGTTTGACACCACTGGCCAAAGTCAATGGTACAAACTCTTACTGTGGTAGCACCCATTTCTTCAAATGAGATGCTATGTGGAAAACCCAATATAAAGGATAGTGTTGGAGCACCTGAAGATGTTGCTGCCCTTAACACTTACTTTTATTAATGTCCATGGGTAGAGGAGATCTCATTAATTCTCAGATGGTGTTTTATAAATTCTTAACCATCAACCCATCAGAATCACCTAAGAATACAAGATCTGCCCAGAAAAAGTCCAGCCACTTAATATAACAAGAACAGGGTGCTCGACATGGATGTAACCTGGCAGCCAAGGAGACTGGACTGCAATGCACACGAGTGAACAATGACTTCACTGTACTTGTCAGTGAGGGGAGGAGATGCCCACTGAGTGAGCACGTGTACTGTGTGGCCGTCACATTCAAAGTGACTGAGTGAGTACAGCAATGGGTCTGTACCAAATTTTGCATTGGGCTTGAACATTTCTCCACAGAAATTATTCAGATGATTCCGAAGGCCGCAGCTATGAGCAACTGGTGATGGGCAGCTTCATCACAACAACACGCTCGCTCATGTGTGATGTCTCGTGGAGAGGTTTTTGGTGAAACACCTAATCACCCAGGTGACTCACCCCCCAACAGCCCAGATTTGGCACCCTGTTGACTTCTGGCTTTTCCCAAAACTAAAATCACCTTTGAAAGGGAAGAGATTTCAGACCATTGATGAAATTCAGGAAAAGATGATGGGGCAGCTGATGGCGACTGGGAGAACTGTGTGAGGTCCCAAGATGCCTACTTTGAAGGGGACTGAGGCATCATTGTCCTGTGTACAATGTTTCTTGTATCTTCGTCAAGAAATGTCTCTTTTCCTCATAATACATGGCTGGATACTTTCTGGACAGACCCTGTATGTTCCTGGACTCTGCCCAGACCTACTGAATCAGAACCCTGGAGGTAAGGCTAGGAAATTGGCATTTTAAACACATATCCAGGGTTTTCTTAGGTACAATAAAGTTAAAAACTGAGAACCACAAATGAAGAAAATGGCTAATGGCATTTAGTTAAATGTATTTCAGTTAAAGTATATTCAACAGAATTGATCGTATTCAAAGAACTTAAGGATGGATGTTTAGGAAGAATAAAAAAATACATCTCAGCCCTGGCTGGCGTAGCTCAGTGGACTGAGCGCGGGCTGGGAACCAAAGTGTCCCAGGTTTGATTCCCAGCCAGGGTACATGCCTGAGTTGCGGGCCATAACCCCCAGCAACCACACATTGATGTTTCTCTCTCTCTCTCCCTCCCTTCCCTCTCTAAAAATAAATAAATAAAATATTTTTAAAAAATACATCTAGAGAAGGAAAAAAGATGTTGAAAATCTGATGGAAAAAGTCTCATTATAGCAGCTATGTCAAATCTCCTAAGAAGTACCAAAACTGTTTTTTAAATGAAGGGTAGAAAACTTCAAAAACTTAAGGAAAAATCTTTCCATTTGTATGATTTAGATGCTTACTAGGATCTATGCAAACCCAGATTCTGCCACTTAAGAAAGAATGTAGACAATTCAGATCCTGTTCAAAGGAAAGTTGGACAGTGGATTTAGGCTTAGGAATAAGAGCTAGAGTTAAGAGTAATTATAACATAAATTAATATTAATTATAAAATAATGTAATACAACAGTGCTACACACTGGAGAAAGCAAAAATAAAGACCTTGAAATGGGCTTCAACCCTAACAACTGATAACTCAATGAACCATACCCACCAACTTCGGAGAAGTCACGCTACGGAGTCATACGTACTCTGAAGGTGTCTGTCTTAGTCCCATCGTGACCATAATCAGCAATCAGTGCGGCCCCTCCCATCAGCTCAATGCGCTGAGAAAGCTCCTGGATAATAACACCAGCATCAGGACACACTTCCACGTGATCCCTTGTTTCATCATGCTAGTATGGAAAAGGTGAAAGAAAATACATCACTCAAAAGAACTGTTTCCTTAGGGTTTTTCTGGTTTTCCTACAATGAGCATTTCTTAGTTACAATAAAAATACATTTGTTCTCAATAGGAATTATGGTCTCTACACTCAACTTTTCACATGACATCCTCTTTATTATATAAAGCTCCTTGGTTTTTGATGGCATGCATTAAGCTTACAAAGGCATTTCAATGTTAATCCTTTTTTAAAAAATGCATGTGACCTCCCGACCCTTCAGGTGGCCAAGTACATTGTCACTCCAGTGCCTGCCACATAATAGGTACTCAGAACACTGCGCTGAATGAGCAAATGATGTAAGTCCGATTTTAAAAAGCAGACCATATTAAACAAGTATATCGTGATACCTTCTGTTGGAGCTAAAGGCATCCTAATGATATGCTCTGTTCTCTAGAAACATCAGCTTATGAACTAATACCATTGTGCCTGAGGCCTTCATTTCCCAAGATGTTCAAGTATTAACTAAGTGTCCTCAATAAGTGCCTATCAGCTTAAAAAGTGAAATGGCAATATTAATATGTGCCAACTTGACTAGTACATGTGAAATTTCACTAGCTCCTAGGATAATGGAAAATTTCTTTTTCTTTGTTAAGTAAAACATACACTGACTCTTGCGCTCTCCTAACACCCTACTGAAAATGAAGTACTGCCCTGCCCTGAGATCTCTGCACAGAGATAGCACAGCTCTAACAGGCATGAAGTCAGACAAAGTCAGCTTCTGGTCTCAGCTCTTCCCATTGCTTATCTGAGACAGGTACCTTAAAATCTTGGAGTCCCCTTCCTCATCACACGTGTACTAGGCCTGTGAGGATTAAATAAAACAATAAACCACCCAGCCTCAGTGCTACTTTATTTTTTTATTTTTTAGGCTTTTCTTTTTGTTTTGTTTTGCCCCCAGTGCTATTAAATAAATTATTGTGTCTCACCCTGGCCAGGAGGCTCAGTTGGTTGGAGCATCGACTACAAACATCGTGGTTTCAGTCCCGGGCCAGGGCACACACCTAGGTTGCAGGTTTAGTCCTCAGGGTGTATATGAAGGCAACTAGTCGATGTTCCTCTCTCACTTCAATGTCTCTCTTCCTGCCCTCCTCTCTAAAATCAGTAATAGAATACCCTCAGGTGAGGGTAAATTAAATCAACGTGGCACATCCCAGTGTACCATGCTGACATTCTTACCATCTTAGCCTGCTCTGCAAGATGATGGATTCTATTTCCATTCGCCCTATTCCCATGAGGAAAAATCATCACTCCCTCTGTCATGAGTGAGTACTACTCAAGTCAAGAACTAAAATGAATCACATGACCCAGGACCTGGGGCTTAGCTCTTAGTAGCTTTATGAATTTGTTTCTCACTCAGGCAAAATTAGCCAGAATATGGAAAATAGAAATGTACACAAGCACTTAGGCTTATGTTTTACAAACAAAACTTAATTCATAGATTCATGTTTTAAAGGTCCTATGCTTTTGAAACTGGTAACTTCTAGCCCTTGCTGGTGTGGCTCAGTGGCTTCGGTGCCAGCCTGCAAACTTAAAGGTCGCCAGTTCGATTCCCAGTCAGGGCACATACATGCCTGCGCTGCAGGACTGGTTCCCAGTTGGGGATGTGCAAGAGGCAAACCAGTCAATGTTTCTCTCGCACATGGATGTTGCTCTGCCTCTCTTTCTCCCTTCCCTTCTCTCTAAAAATAAGTAAAGATAAAATATTTAAAACTGATAACTTCTGGGTTGCAAGTTCTTAGTTATGGTCTAAAAAGTAGAATGGAAAAGAAAGGAACGGAACACAGTCTAGAGCCCAAATATTCCTGATAAGGACAGGATTTTTTTTTTAACCTTCATGCATAACCCCAAGATGGGCTCTTTGTGATTTATTCCTCGGAGCCAAGAGGAGTAAAGCACCATTCTGGCAGTCTAGAAACAGAGTTGGATCTGGGTGGAAACAGAGAAAACAGGCACATTCTATCTAGTAATGGAGTTATTTTGAGAATTAAGTGAGAAAATACAGAGTAATACAAAGGACTCAAGAAACTTACTGTTGTTACTTTACCATACACTGTACTACACTGTTTTCAGAGACATCAGCTCTTCCCGTAAATAGACAATTTTGACAGGTAAACAGAGAAGGGCCTTGCTGAGTAAGCCTGTACTCACTTCTCTCTCATTACATATAAAGTCACACGGCTGAGAAATGACTCTTCTGACTCTAGATCCTCCACACTTTTCATTATTAATAAAAAACATCTCACATGTTGTGAGCAACTCCTTCCCCCTGTGTAAAGAAGCTCTAAAATAGTAACTCAGAAAACAAGACCTGGCTGGCAAACTAAGAAGAAGAAACGTATTCTTACTTGTATGAAGGCCTGTGCTGGGGTGGCACAAGGCGCCAAAACGAACCTCAGTTTATCAGAGCCTTGTGGATCAATGTCAATCAATACTTCTCGCCATCCTTGTGGGGTTTTCTAAACACAAAATGAGACGTAAAAACCAATTTTTGCAAGTTCTCAAAACTGTCTTGAGCAAAAATACTAGGTTTTCAGAGCACTTTACCACTTGAAATTATTTCGAGGCTTTACCTCACTTCTTCTAAACCATATGAATAGGCTATTAGATACAAACTCTTAATGTAGTTGAGATAAGAGGTAGAGCTGGGGAAGATAAAATACGCAGTACGCCTCAAAATGGAAAACAGACTTAGGAAGACTAATCAGAAGCTGTTGCTAATAAATTATTACACAGTAATACATACTCTTAGCCTTAGAAGTTATCAGTACACATACATTACCACCAAATCTTAAATCTCATAGAAGGAATAAAGACAAATTTTAATCTTTGGAATTTAAAAATACTTGCTAAAAAGAGATCTTTATTGTACTAAAACCTTTTACCATCTTACATTCTCATGCATCTTTATCTTAGTATTAAGAATTCTTAATAATTATGCTATGAGAATTAAGAATTCCACTTAATATTTCATTACTGCTTTTCAATTATTTATATTCACAAAACATTCCAAATACTGTAACTTCAACCAGTAGTGTTTATATACTAATTAAATAGCAAAAATATTCATTCTTTCACTAAGTAAATATTCATCACTAACAAGGCCCTTTGTTAGTCAATTATAAACATGACTTTTTTCCATCATACCTGAAACTTGTGGATAGGAAGAACGTCAAAAAATTCATGTGCAAGATAAAAGCTGTATCCTATTTAAAAGTGGAAGAGAAAATTAGTGGTTAAGCATTTTTAAGATAATAAATGGGATCTTTTGAACATTAACCAAAAAAAAAAAAATGCCTGGTTCTTTGCATTGGAATCTGTGATGCTTCCATAATCATGTCTACCACAGAACCACCACACTTCACAGCAAAGCTACTCTGCAGAAAATACAGAGGGTCAATTACTATTATTCTCACTTTCCACACCCCAGGATCAGAGTCAAATATCTTAGCTATCAGTTTAATTTCTTATTCATTACTAGGCCTGAAAGAAATCAGAACTCAAATTTGCTAGCTGAAAGAAGACTTGAATTTCCTAAAATCACCCGAGGCCAGGAACAGCTAAGGTGTCTTGCCCAAATCAGACCACTTCAGGTTTGAACTGGAGAGCATCGTGTCAGATTCCTGAAGAGCACAGGTAAGGATGTTCAGAAGATGAGATAATTAAACTAAACCCACCTAACACCGCTTCCTCCAGCCCTTGCTGCCGTGGGCTGCTTGGCAGCAATACTAAGGGGTAGGGCAAAAGTCAAAAGTACAAAAGTACAAAGAGATTTTGTTTGGTTTTATTTTTGCAAAACTACATGAAATTCACTGTCCCTTAATGTTAGGCAATTTTATTTTCTAATACAATGTTGTTTTTTATTTTTATTTTGAGAGAGAAAGGGAGGAAGGGAGACAGAGGGAAAGAAACAGAGATCAGCTGCCGCTCACTCGTCCCCAGCTGGGGACCTGGCCCACAATCCAGGCGTGTGCCCTGAACTGGCAGCCCGTGGCTTCGCGGGATAACACCCAACCCACTGAGCCACACTAGTATGGGCTACAGTGGATTTTTTATAGAATGAAGTTCACTGTACTTGTAAGGGACTTGGCAGTACTAACTCAATCTATTTCAGATATTTCTCAACTTATGTTGGCGTTACCTCCTCAAAAACCTCATTAAGTCAAAAATGCATCTAATACACTTAAACTACCAAACATCACAGCTCAGCCCGGCCTTCTTTAAACATGCTCAGAACCCTTACATTAGCATACAACCGGGCAAAATCATTTCACTGCTGCTGCCCTGCATAAGACAGTATCGTACTGCCTATCAGCAGCCCCAGAAAAGATCAAAATTCAAAAGTTGAAGTGCAGTTTTTACTGAATGTGTATCACCTTTGCACCATCATAAAGGTGAAAAATTGTAAATCGAACCATTGTTAAATTGGGACCGTCTGTATATTGCTCTACAAGGTTGTGATTACATATCACTACTGTGAGAGGCTGTGATCAAAATTCTCTCATTAATCAATGTAAAATCATTACCTTTTGGAACATCCTGCAGATCTCGGTACCAGGAAATTGGAATCCCAGACTTAGTAACACCTTTCATATATACTGGGGATCCAGCACTTCGCTCTAAGGGAACCTTCTCTTCAGTCAGAGTTAACGCTTGAATCTCACTTAATTTTTGGCTCACCTCTACTAGATGTATCGAAATCTCACAGTTTTTCAGCACAGATCCAAGCTGGCTAAACACCTAAATACAAAAAAGAAAAAAAAGGCAAAATACATGTTGAGCAGATTTTACATTTTCTAACCACTGGCCTCAATAGTTTGCTCATCACAGTACAAGTTATAACTGGTTCCAGAGAAATTTGTTCCTTACACAAACCACTCTCCAGCAGTCTATGAGAATCATAACCTTCTTAGAGTTATTAAACATAGTCTATAGAAGAACGGAACAGGACACAATTTGTTTTCCTAATGATAAAATTTAGAATTGCGAATAACAAATGAAAACAGAAGATTTCCGCATCCTCACCAGCACCTGGTTTGTCAGACTTTCTAATTTTGATGGTGTAGTAGCAGTATCTCACCGATTTCACCTTCCATTTCCCTAACTCCCAATGAGTCTGAGCAATTTTTTTGTTTTTATTGGCCATCTGGATTTTCTGTTTCACGATGGGCTTGTTCACATATTTGGCCTGGTTTTTCTGGTGAGTTCTCTGTCGCCCTACTGACTTAAAGGACTACTAGTTCTTTGCTGGTTACATGTATTGCAAACAACTTGTCTAACTTGTGGTTTGTCTCACCACTCTCTTTATGGTATCTTTGAAGAACAAAAAGTTCCTAGTTTCTTTAAAGAACACAGAATTCTTAATTTTGATATAGTAGAAATTATTAATATATTTTCTTTCGTGGCTTCTGTTTTATGTATCATTTAAAAACTCTTTTCCTACTCAGAAGACAAATATGTTCTCCCATAACATCTTCTAAATGTTTTATAGCTTTAGCTTTCACATTCTCCCCCACCGCCGTATTTTAATCTTACAAACAATAACTAATCAATCACTATATTACTCTGGCACTATATTTTAGCTGAGAAATATGAGATTAAGGCGGTGGGACCAAAAGTGAAGAAAATCAACAAGGTCTGCAAACTCAGATACACATATATGAGACTTGAAGACACTCTCTTATTACCTACCCTCAGAATATCTTCTGCGAGGGTACCCCGACCTGGGCCCAGTTCTACCAGCTGGAAAGCTGCACTTTTTCCATTGGCCATCCATTCACTAACAAACCATATCCCTAGCAGCTGTGACAAGGAAAAAAACACATTAAAGTATTACAAGGTATAAAAGCACACCACAATATAAAACTCCATGAAAATGCATACTTTATGTCAGAAAGCAAAATGTTTGCAAACAACCATATGAATTTAATAAAGGAAACTTCACTGGGACTATGTCACAACACATACTAGTTAGGAAGCTTAAATAACTAAAGCAAATAGTTAAAAAGGCACCCTCCAGTATAAAAGGTCCCATGACAAAGACATCACTTACAGAAAGGTACTAGTATTTGAAAGCAAATAGATATATGAAATATAATTCTATAACTAGGCCATTTCTTCACATTCATATGATTTCAATAATTACATGGCTTGCCCTGACTAGTATAGTTCAGGGGGTTGGGTGTTGACCTGCAAACGGAAAGGTCACCAGTTTGATTCCCAGTCAGGTCACATGCCTGGGCTGCAGGCAAGGTCCCCAGTTGAGGGGCACGTGAGAGGCAACCAATCAATGTACCTCTCACACATAGGTGTTTCTCTCCCTCTCTTTCTCCCTCCCTTCCCCTCTCTCTAAAAATAAGCCAAATCTTTCAAGAAAATAATTACATGGCTCTTAGACACAAGCAATGTATTTTTAATGCCTGGATTCTACTTCCTCTTATGTACTACTACTTATTTCTAAATTGATCAAAGGTTATATGAAAATAAACTAGAACTCTTGAAAAAAATGTGAAGTTTCTTACAGGGAGACTTCTACTCTAACTATGGCTAAATCATGTTTGGGGGAGGGGCTTTAGAGCTCATTCTGACCCCCGCAGTTCTTTCTGGGGTACACTCTACCCCTTTCCTCACCTTCGCCTTTGCCTTGCTTCCTTCTCCCACTCTCCTGTGTCATCTGGTTCACCTCTTTTCTTACCTCTTTACCTCCACCTCTTTCCCTTCTCTTTCCTTTTGTCTCTCTCACCTCTACATTCCCTTCTCTACAGCAAAGTATAAACTTTTCGAATGTCCATTTTACCATTTTCTTTCCTCCGTTCCCTTTCTATTACCTCAATATATAAAGTACTAAATAATTAAAGCTTTTGATGAATCACAAAAACAAAGCTGTAAAATACTATTATAGAACAAAACACCTTAATCGGCTGTCAAATGTTTGTGATATTAGTTTCTTTTATAGTTTAGACTGGCATTACCTCCCCAAAGATCTGACTTATTTCAGGCGAAGTAATAAAATCTCCTTTTTCTCCTAGCATGTCACGGTACACATAATATCCCTGAATAAAAACAGAAAATGGAGAAAAAAAATTAATTTGCAAATAAGGCTTTTTAAACACCCCTCCAGAATCTTACATAATGTGCACAACAAAATAATTAATTTTGTAGTAAGAAAGTTCTCTCTTCTAAATAAGCAAGATAAACACAGTATCTTTGCCCAAATTTTACAAAGTGACAGTCATTTTGCAGAACTGGTGGAAAACCAGTGACTTCTTGACTAGAAAGCCAGAAGCCACGCAGTGTCCATCTCTGCCTTCCCCCTCCTTCCCTTTCCCTGCTTCCACCAGGTTCCCACCCCAAATTCTCACACTTTCAGTTTCAAATTAGCCCTGCCTGCTGGCCATGGTGTTTTCTGACCTGGGTGTGGGTTCCACAGAGTATTCTCTTTGTGAAAATTCATGAAGCTGTATACTTGTGACTTATGCATACATCATAGCTCAACAGCAGCTGGGTTTCATTTTTTTAATTGGCCCTCGTTGTCCACACATGCATGCCACTGAAATGCCTTCCCCTCTCCTTTTCCGTTACTTCCTGGCAATCTTATACTCATCCATCAAATCTGCGGAAATGCCACCTTCTCCGATCTCGTCCTCCTCCAGCCTTCCAACCTCAGACTAAATCCAGTGCTTCCTTTTCTGAGCTTATTTATGTATATGTCCATTCTTCACCAGAAGGCACAGTTAGTTGGCAGAGAGGACTGTGTCTTATTTACTTTCATATCCCAAGTTTCATCATAAGGCCTAACCTTCAAGAAACACTCAGGAATTGTTTAAAAATTCCCTATGGTCCTCATGCCCCTTCTTCTACCACCTTACTCATGGCAGATGACCTGCGTTCCTGCCCACACAGGGGTTAAATACAACTTCTCACCTTCCTGACCCCACTTGGCCTCCACCTGCTCCCACTCTTTCCTTGGGACTCAAATATGAAATGCCTACCCCTTCTGTTCTTATCCACACCCGATCCCTCCTGTGCTCTGGATTGATCACAATTCTTCACCCAGTTCTCATGAGCCAGGACCTTTCTCATCACCTGATTGCCTTTCTCCCACAGCTTCAACTTTTCCCTCTCAGCATTAGAAATATAATTAAATTTAAAAATTATTTTTGCCCTGACTGGTGGCTCAGTTGGTTGAAGGGTCATCCCACACACCAAAAGGTTATGGGTTTCAATTCCTGGTCAGGGCACATACCTAGGTTGCCGGTTTGATGCCCAGATGGTGCATGTATGGGAGGCAATCCATGTTTCTCACTCTCTCTCTCCTACTTCCTCTCTTTCTAAAATCAATAAACACATCCTCAGGTGAGGATCCGTGCAGCATCTACCCACTAGCCTTTCTCTTTGCCTTCATAAGCAAGCACTTCAGGGGTGTTTTTAAGTGCTATGAGCCCCTGCGGTAGTACAGTAAAGCCTGTGGACTCCTTTAGAGAATGTTTTCAAATGCGCAGGACATAAAACGTACAGGATTACAAAGGAAAGCAACTGAAAAATACTTATCAAATATTTAAAAATAAATTGGTGATACAGTAATACATATGCTTCTTTATAAGTGTTATTAAAAACCGAAATCGCGCCGAAGGTCAAATAAGTAACAAAGTTCTGAAGCACGGATGAGCACCATGGTATTTTGAGATAGCTGTGATTGATCACTGTCGTGAGGTGATAGTGTCAGTTGTTCCACTGATGCTAACTCAAGTCACAAGTATTGCTGACGCTATTGGTCATTGCCTGTGTTCACAGAGAAAATCTAAAGTCCAGTTAGAAGTTAACTAAAATAACTGCCTTGCCTAAACCTTCAGACAGTGGGCTGCTCCACCACATCCAGCAACAAGCCATACAAACCCCAGAATTCCACAGACCTCACATTTCAACTCAGCGAACGGTGAAACACTCTACAATAGAAGGACTACAGACTTTCAACGAGTGGCTTTGTGGAGCAGACAAGGAAATACAGGCCAGAAAGCTGCAATACTGAACTGCAGAACAGCAAAGACCCAGGCATCCCGTTCTCAAAAAGAAAAACCAGAATATGCTTCCAATGCCTGCTGAAGCCATCCCAATACAAACAACTTTCCAGGCACTAAATTCCTATTTCCAGTCGCCTATGTCCACCTCAAGAGTCCCTAAACTTCATATTCGTATATCGGACCAAACTCTATTCTTCCCCTCCCTCCTAAATCGGCTACTGCTCTTCCTTCTCCTCCATTCCCTTATCCCAGAGAAATGGCTCTACCATCTCCCATCAGCCCAGGTCGAACTGTCGCGCTTCCCTCATCTCATAAATCCAACCGGTTACACTGTCTCCTGAACAGCTTCAGAATTTGTCATCTGTAGGCTAGTCCCGCCGCTGACTTGATCCAGCCCCGAAGCAGCTGACAGATTAATTTATCCCTCTCCAGTTCTGGGGGGCGGCTCTTCCCCTGGAAGGCACCCTGGCAGGGGTGGCTGAAGACGCTCAGGCTCCCCTCCAGGCTCGCACCTCGAAAACCTGCTAGAGCGGGCATGGTCTTCGGGCTCCCCGACCCATACTTACCTTGGCAGGGTTGGTCAAGACCTCCTTCATGTACTCGGCCACAGTGATAGGGCCGGTGGACTTGATTTTGTACATAAGATGCCGCAGCATCGGAGTCACCGGGTTGTTTTCTACCGGCTCTTTCCCGGAGCTGAAATATTTTCCTCTCCAAAGGCAGGGAATGACTGCGAAAAACACACATTAAATAGGACCTATTAAAAACCTTAGTATTTACACGTGCACAGCTGTCTGAGACCTTTCAAAGTGGCTTCGTCAACGCTTAAACTGGTTCAAAGACGGGATAGCAGTGTCCCAGCCGCAGCTCGCACACAAGGTGCAGGCAGGCGAGCACTTTGCCATGGACCTCACAGCCATTTTCCGTCGGACGCTGAACTTGTCTCCGACCCAGAAGCGCCCCTGACGCCACGGACTGAGCTGGGCGCCCCTCGCGGTTTCCACGGCACCCGGGGTTAGGACCGGGCGAACACTTACCCGCTCGCGCCGCAGCGTTCAGCGACCAGGCGCCGGCCTTCGCGAGGGCACACATGTTGAATTAGCCGAGCAACCAGCAGCCTGGAGCCTCCAGCCACCGGGGGGCGGGGATTACAGCCACTTCCGGGAGGGATTACGCCCCTGCCGGAAGTACGGCACTCGGCCTAGCGGAAGGAAACCCCCGACAGTTCCCGCGTGCTTTGCTAACCATGGCTCCTGGCAAGAAACATTTGGAGTTTCACGCCAAGCGGCCCTGGGGTCCTCCCCAGGGGGTGGAGGGTACGGATGAGGACGACGACGACGATAATGATGAAGCCGAGAATGGGTTCTCCATGGAGGAGGTGTTACGGCTTGGAGGCACCAAGGTAATGGCCTTGGGCTACGGGAGAGAGGCACCGAGGCTTGGGGAGTGGCCCCGCACCCCTTCTTTACCATTGCTCTTTACAAGATAAAAGTCAAATCGTGCGCTTTTTATGGTATAGCCTTAGAATGTAGGCTATGCCCTCATTTGGTTGACGTAGTATACCTGGCATTCCATCAAGTCGAAGAGGACTGACGTTTTTGGCCCTGACCTCGTGGCATCAGTGTTTTGAACTCGAGTGGTGTTGGTATTTATATTGTGTTCCCACCGAGTACATGCACATACTCACTGTATACTCAAGAAGTTCTTGGAATTTACACCCTGATTACGGGAAAGGAACGGTAACCAAACTTTTGAATGCATAGTGTGTCAGACGCCGAGGGGATTCGGGTACCCATCACTGAGATAGATGTTCGAGCAAAAACCTGAAGAAAAATACGGACTGAGCCAGGTCGTTTCACGAACAACAAAAATGTCAGTTTAGCCGAGGCAGAGTGAGGTAAGGAGAGAGCAGTAAGAAACGAAGTAAGAGAGTGGGCTTGTACTCTGAGTTTGACGAAACCATTAGAGGATTTGGAGCAAATATGTGACAGAATTTGGCCTATTTTTTATTAAATGTTGTTTTGAGACTAGAATTGGAGGTGGGGCGTGGAGTAGACGGAGGAGAAATGTATCTTACAGGAATAGATTCACAGGTTGCTCTGTGCGGGCATTGTATTTGATTTTTAAATATGTTATATATGTACATACTGCAAAGAGGTTTTGTTTTGCTTCGTATTTAAGGAAAGGATACATGGTGAGAAACCCTTTTCTCTGCTTTTAGCCATGCAATTTACTTTCCAGGAAGCAATATTCTTGTAAGTCTTGTATCTTCCAAGAAAATGCACGCCCATCTGTTATTTTTCACACAAAGGGCACCATACTACATCTGTATATATTTTTTGCATCCTTTTATTTTCTATCCTTCCATATGAAAATGGAAAGTTCTGTCATTGGTTTAATGCCTGCATAAATCATTGTGTCTGTCTTAATTTTCTATCAACCATTTATTGGGGATATGTAAGTTGTCGGTATTTTGCTATTTTCAATGATGCTTCAGCTATAACCTTGAATATGTTTTTCCACATTTGTAAGTGTACATTTAATCTAAATGCATAGAAATGGAACTGCTGGGTCAAAGGATGTGTGTCTTCTGTGTGTTTTGATTGAAGATGGCAAATTGCCTCCTTAGAGGTTTTGCCAGTTTACACTCCCATCAGCCGTGAAGGGAGTCCCCGCTCCTTCCCTAACACCACCTGTCATAATCTGATCTTTGCTTATCTGACAGATTAAAAAATAGATGCATTGTTGTGATTTTAATGTGGATTTCTCTAAACGTTAGTGAAGTGGAACATCTTTTCATATCTTCATGTATTTCTGTTGGGTTATTTGTCACTTCCTTAACTGATGTGTAGCAACTTTTATATCAATTATTAAGCTAAATTAGTTTGATATGAGTTGCCAGTATTTTTTTCCAGTTTTATTATTTGTCTTTTGATTTGTGTATGAGAGGGTGATAAATTTACCCATTCTTTCCATTATGGCCCTAAGTTTGCATCAGATTTGGAAAGGTTTTTCCCTACTCTGAAATTCTTTTTAAAATTATGTTGTGCTTTCTCCCATTATATTGTGGTTTTATTTTTTCCATTTTAAATCTCTGATCCCTCAAGTATTTATTTTTGTGTAGTTTGGGAGACCAGGCAATACCATGGGAGCTTTGATTTCAAAGATACAGGTTTCAGGGAACAAACTGACAGTTACCAGGGAGAAAGATAATAGGGGATAATGGGGGGCATCAAGGAACATGTATAAAGGACTGATGGACAAGGCCAAACGTGTAGGTTCAAGGGTGAGAGGCAGGGGTGGGTGAGGCAGAGGGGGGCATGGTGGGGTGAAAATGGAGATAACTGCACTTGAACAACAATTAAAAAAATAAAAAATACATAGGTTTCACATTAACTTGAAGTTTTAACTGAATTGTTGGATTTGTCATTTATTTTGCGCTTTATGTTTTTCTTCAGCAAGATTACCTTATGCTGGCTGCTCTGGACGAGAATGAAGAAGTTGTAGATGGAGGCAAAAAAGGAGCAATTGATGACCTTCAACAAGGTGAACTGGAAGCATTTATTCAAAATCTGAGTTTGGCCAAGTATGCAAAAGCTTTCATAATTGAAGAAGATGAACCAACCAACAAAGAAGATGCCAGCAAAAAAGCAAACGTATCTAAATTAGGTGATAAAAAACAAAATGCAGCAGAAAGCGAAAGGACATCAGTGAGTAAGGTGAAAAGTAAGAAGAGACCAGAACAACATTCTGATGAGAACAGTGCGGCACCAAAAGTAAAGAAAGACAAACAACAGGACGTCTTTGAGTTTTTTGAGAGACAGGCATTGTTGCTGAAGCCTGGAGGCAAATGGTATGATCTCGAGTATAGCAACGAATATTCTTTGGAACCCCAGCCTCGGGATGTTGTATCTAAGTACAAAACTTTGGCTCAGAAGTTGTATGAACATGAAATTAACTTATACAAAAATAAGACAAATAATCAAAAGGGAGCCTCTTCTACCTGGATGAAGGCAATTGTGTCATCGGGGACCCTGGGTGACAGGATGGCAGCCATGATTCTTCTTATTCAAGATGATGCTGTTCACACACTCCAGTTTGTAGAAACTCTCGTAAACCTGGTGAAAAAGAAGGGCAGCAAACAGCAGTGCCTCATGGCTTTGGATACTTTCAAAGAGTTACTCATTACAGACCTTTTGCCAGACAATCGAAAACTCAGGATTTTCAGCCAGCATCCTTTCAACAAGCTAGAACAATTGTCCAGTGGCAACAGGGACTCAAGAGACAGAAGGTTGATCTTATGGTATTTTGAACACCAGCTGAAACACTTAGTGGCTGAATTTGTGCAGGTCCTGGAAACTTTAAGTCATGATTCATTAGTAGCCACCAAAACCCGAGCCCTTTCAGTGGCTCATGAGCTTCTTTGTAACAAACCTGAGGAAGAAAAGGCTCTTCTTGTACAAGTGGTAAATAAACTGGGAGATCCGCAGAACCGAATAGCCACGAAAGCCTCCCATCTGTTAGAGACGTTGCTTTGTAAACACCCCAACATGAAAGGCGTTGTGTGCGGTGAAGTAGAAAGGCTGCTCTTTCGCTCAAACATCAGCACCAAAGCGCAATATTATGCAATTTGCTTTTTAAATCAAATGGTTCTCTCCCATGAAGAAAGTGAACTGGCTAACAAATTAATAACTCTTTATTTTTGTTTTTTTCGGACTTGTATCAAGAAAAAAGATATCGAATCAAAAATGCTTAGTGCCCTCTTAACAGGAGTGAATAGGGCCTACCCTTACGCCCAGACTGGTGATGACAAAGTGAGGGAGCAGGTTGATACGCTGTTTAAAGTGTTACATATTGTGAATTTTAACACCAGTGTGCAAGCTTTAATGTTGCTTTTCCAAGTAATGAATTCTCAGCAGACAATATCGAACCGATACTATGCAGCATTGTACAGGTAAGTAATCCCCTTCCAATCTGTGACTGTGAGGAATAATGTTATTGTACACACACACAGCAACCCTCTGTGGGGCAAGGGAAAGACTCACAAAACTGGGTTTTAGGCTCCCCTCAGACTTGCTACTCACTAACTTGGACTAAGCCATAATCTTTGTTTCCCTATTGGACAACTACCATATTTGCCATGTGTAATACGCTCCCATGTATAATGTGCACCCACATTTTTGACCCAAACTTTCAGGGGAAAAATCATTTCTTTTTAATTTCTTAATTCAATTTTTTATTTACTTATATTTATAAACAAAACCAGTTATCATATTCCAGAGTATTTTGCATACACATATCATTGCTTTTTAGAGTTACACTTTTAACACATGAAATAACAATGAAAAACATGCAGATACAGAATTACTCATGTATAATATGCATCCTTATTTTTAAAAAATTTGGGCAAAAAAGTGTGCATTATATGTGGCAAAATACAGTGAACATTTTTATTTTGAGAAGTTAAAACAGAAAAATGCATTCTCCCCTCAAAGCATACATACCCTACCACCTAATATTTCAAATTTAATATTTTGCTGTTTTTGTTTTAAATCTTTAGGGATATTAAAGAGAGAGAACTACAGATACAAGTTTCCTTCTCCTCCCACTCCCCACCCCCTCCTCAGTCCTGTATTTATCCTGTCCTTCACACAGCCATTTAGTAACTCACTCATCAGGAATTTAAGTGCCAACTGTATGCTGGGTACTGTTCCAGGTGCTTAGAATATATAACACAGTGAACAAAATTCCCACCACTAAAGGTGCTTATATTTATATTGGGGAAGTCCGATGGTAAACAGGAAAGTTTGTTTGGTAGGGAGGGTTGGTGGTTGCACTTTTGGAATTATTTTTCATACTTGGATTGAGATTTTGTTTACCAAAGTTTACAATTGTCCTACAGTGCAACACTGAGGGGTGATCTTTTGAATAGTGCATCGAGTATACCAACAAGCTTTGTATTTACTCTAATTAATTTTTGTAATTTCTCAGTCACATGTCTTGTGAGAAATGTAATGTAGTGGTTAACTCCTGGACTAAGCCACACTGTCTAAGTTTGACGCCCAGCCATTAGTTTGCAGTGTAACTTTGGACAAATTACTTAATCCTCATTATAGCCCTATTGGTAAACATGATTAATCCCATTTT